GGTGCGGGGACTATATAAAGCGCTGCGTCTTATAACTCGGTCTGTTTTCACTTGAACGCTCGAGTGAGAGACTTAACGCAATATCTGCGCTGCTGGTAAAATACACTTGTAGATTACTCAATGCACATATTTATACAAAAAAAATACTCTTTGAGTATCAGTACACTTTCTAATCCTACTTTGTTAACTCTTTTCAAGGTTTGCAACTCAACTCAACCGTGACTGGCCCTGCTGCCTGCCTGTTCCCGGACAACTTGGACCTCTTCCCTGGAGGTAAGATAAACCCCTAAATATTTGTGAATATAGATAAAATGAACTGAATTCTACACGTTATCAACAGTTTTGTCCACGCACGACTATTTTACTCGGCCAATGTTAGGGTCAAATGGTATCACAGGTCGAACTTTTTGAAACTGTTTCATTTGAAAGGTTATGACATTCAGTCGTAGATTACTTACTGTGGCTGGAATAATACCTTGTAAAATGGTCTTATTTTTCTTGGTATGGATGCAAAATAAAAAGTTATCTAAGCATTTTCTGGATACTGACGTATTTTAGTTTGTAGGCATCGAAATTCATTAGCTGCCAGCTGAAGATTCCACACTAGAATATTTACAGAGATGTACATTTTATACTTAAAGAGATCATGTTATGAGGTGTTGGTTGAGTTTTACTTGATTTTTTTGGGGGGATAAATGGAATTACTGAGGTGCACTGCACACTGGCAGATGCACTGTGGACTTGTGCAAGAGAAGCCAGACAGACCTCTCTGTTTAGAGTCTTGTACAAAAACTGTAGGCCTGTATATATAACTAAAACCTTGCTGGTAAGTCTGTAATTCAGGACGTGAGCCAAGGAAAAAGTAGTTATAGGCTACTATATTGCACTGACAAGCAGCTCTGGTCTTTCCCTGTTTTTACAATTCTGTAGAATGACTTGTGTGTAAAAGTTTGTCTGGCTCCTTGTACCATCGACACAACAGCAGGAAAACCTTTGTATGGAACAAGTTGTTATTGTTGTAAAATGTTGCAGACTCTGGATCCGCGGGACGCTCCGGGGGACCCTCCTGCTACCGGCTCGCAGGTGAGGTGCAGGTAAGTATGCCTTTTGTTCTTGCTCGTTTCTCTCCTCCTCAGCAAGAGGACGTGTTTAGACGAGAGGAAGAGGAGGAGGAGGATGAAGAAGAGGAAGATGATGAAGAGGAAGAGGAGGAGGAAGACAGTGAAGAGGAAGAGGACGATGATGAGGAAGAGGACGATGATGAGGAAGAGGACTGGAGCGAAGAAGAGGAGGAGGACTCGGATGACATAGACTCTGGCTACGAAAGTCTCTCAGAGGAAGACAGCAATGAAGACGAAGATGTTGACGTGGAGGGGGAAGAGGACGACCAGGTTTTCCCTCCGGAGGTGTTCTGGGCCGACTGGCGCCAGGCGGCCCGTTCTGCTCAAGCTAGGAGTGTGAGGGATCGTCCCCCGTCCCCCTGCTCCTTGCCCTCCCCCTGTGGGCCTTGTTCTGGACTTCCTGCCTCTTGGTGGATCCAAGCGCCTCAGGGAAGAAGGTGAGGATGAAGAGGGAAACCCCAGCTCCAAGAAGCCGCGCTCTTCCTCCTCCCGGGGCAGCTCCCCAGAGCCCGTCCCCTCCACATCTTCTGGGACGTCTGCAGGTTTCCCACAATACTTCCACCCCCTGCCCCCATACCCTGACTCGGACGATGACTGAATTCCGTCTCTGAGACTCTGGGCTTTGTAACATCATTTCGGCAACATTTACCACCTTTAACACTGCCGATTTCATCTACTGTACATAGTTTTTCAATTTATTATCTTGTGTGCTGTGTGTTAAGTAGTAGTAGTGGTAGTTTGTGTGCCAAAATCATTTTTCATCTTTCGTGTGCTTCAAAAGAAGAGAAAGCAAGGTATAGTATGTAGGATTTCTAAAATCTTGACATCCTGAAAACTCTTAAAAGCATAAAAAAGGTTAAACGTTATCAGTAAGTAAATGGTGATAGATACACCAAATTTAAGCCGCAATGTCACAAATGTCCTACATATTACACCTTGCATTCTACCCTGGGCATAGGTGGGTTAGAGGTGAAAAGGTAGTGGGATTGCTGGTGCGATTTCCGCTCCTTTGCTGTGTTTGTTTGCTGTGTTTGTTTGTGTGTTGAAAGAGAAGGAAAACTATGTAGGAACGTAACAGACACAGCATAAACAAATTCTCTAAATGTACTCAGTGACTAAATTCTAATTGAGGAAAATGTCAATCTGATAATTGTGTGTAGTTTCCTGCATAGTACGCCTTGCCTTGAATTTATTTTGAGCTGGTTCCACTCTGGCCGTAGGAGGGTTAACTAACTCATTAATATTATTTTAAGAATATAAATAATAATAAAAATAATAAAAATATAAAACTTGAAGTATAACTACAATGAAATCCCTCACTGGAGGAAATATTTCCCTGTCTTCTCTTCATTAGGAGATTTGCGTTTGACCACTCATTCAACAGTTTCATTCTTTTTTATTTTTTTTATTTTTTTTCAGTAATAATTTAAAGTTAAAATTTAGAATTAGCACAACCATGGTATTTACAACTAAACCATTTACAATAAACTGTACTTTAATTTTATAATAATTTGTAAGATGTGGAGGCCTGGGTTTGTTCACTAACTTGTCGGTTGGTGGGACACTCCCTAATTCCCCATTTAAGTTGTTGTTTTATGACTACATTGTACTACAAGTAGTATATAAATAATCAAATGTATACTATATTGTAAAGTTATACTCCTGTAAACAGTCTCTGTGGAGAGTGTACTTTTACTTTATACTGATTTGTTAGATGTAGCGACTTGGGTTTGTCCACTCACTAGACAATTAGTGGGACACTCAGTTTCCCTCTTTTTTTATTTATTTTTATTTATTTATTTTTATTTTATTTTATTTTTTCAGTAATTGTAATTTAAGGTTAAAATGTAGAATTAGCACAACCATGGTATTTAGAACTAAACCGTTTATAATGCATGTGTATCTCAGTGACATTGTGTCTTTCTGTAAACTGTACTTTTATTTTTACTTTATAATAATTTGTAAGATGTGGAGACCTGGGTTTGTTCACTAACTTGTCGGTTGGTGGGACACTCCCTAATTCTCCCATTTAAGTTGTTGTTTTATTACTACATTGTATTACAAGTAGTATACAAATGTGTAATGTATTGTAATGTTATGTTCCTGTAAACAGTCTCTGTGGAGATTGTACTTTTACTTTATGATAATTTGTAAGATGCGGGGACTTGGGTTTATTCACTAACTTGTCGGCTGCTGGGACACTCCCTACTTCTGTTTAAGTTGAATTTTAACTGTGTTTACATGATAAAACATTGTACTTGCTTCTTTGCACAGCGTACTGGTACGCAAAAGTCTCTGTTTTTCAGGGTGACTGTCCATTCAGAGGAGGGCCTAAACCAAAGTGCATCTCTTTTAGTATTTATGGTTTAATCCCATAGAAGGAGTGTTGATGCACACTTAATGCTTTCTTCCTAGTTTCATGAAAAGGGCATTGATTGGGTGACGGGCCACTGTCTAAGTTGATATGTCTTATTATATATATGTCCAGAAATGTGTTCCAGTCGGATTCACTGTGTCCTGGTGAGTAAAGACCAATACTAGTGTAATATTTGTATTAATTACTAAAGGCTATTGTTCACTTTTCACAGACAGGTGCATCTCTGATGGAGCTATCGTCCACAAAGTTCAGTGAGCCATCACCAAAGGGAGCCCTGATCCTAACTTTAAAACACAAGGTATTCTGAGAAATTAGAGAAATAATAGTGAAACATAATGATAAATAATGTGTTTTGTACTTTTATTGCCCTTTTAGGAGCCATAGTCATTGTCATCTCTGCTGAGACGTCTACAGCTACAGTGGCTTATGTAGCTCCAGTCAGATGATCCACAGACCTCTGTAAGTTATTATCTGAAAATGCAGTTTAAATCTGTGCGGTAAAGTGGAATCTAAAGTTACACTAAACTTATGTTTTAGGATCCAAAAACATTAATGGAGTGTGAACCCTCATCAGATGCTCTCGCCCACATGAGAGGGAGAGGTGAACGAGGCCTGTCCAATAAGAGACTCAGCCCAACACAAGGGAGAAGGCCTTCAGTCTGTGTAATCTGCTGTTACTCAGAAGTTCAGTCTAATCAAAACTGAAGCACTTCTCCTGATGAAGATCTCCAGAAGAGTGACAACCTTCAACAGTGGTGAGAGAAAAGAGCCGATACTAAATCTTTGCAAGTATGACAACAAGATTTTTACTCTATGATCCCCGTGTTATTTTGTGACTGTGCAGGTGCTGAGGGGCACATTGGATCTGCGGGTTTAATGGAGGAACAAAAAGAAACAAATGGTCTTTGGAGGATTCAAAAACAAGTGATGAAGCTCATCAGAAGACTGCACTACTTCTGGCCTCATGGTGACAACCAAGGAGATTATTGTGGACTTCCACCAAAATGGGCAAAACAACCACCAAACTCTCTGTGTCGGCACTGAAGTAGTAGAGAGGGTGACCGTGACTGAGGACCTGTCCTGAAGCATTCCCACTGCCTCAGCTGTGGGGAAGGCCCAACAACGCCTTTACTACTTGAGGAAACTGAGGAACGCCAACATCCCTAGTCCACTAATGAGGAACTACTACAACTTTTCCATCAGAAGTGTTCTGACATCTGATTTTTAGTGTGGTTCTCCTCCTGCACTAATGCCGACCTACACACTCTCCAGTGGGTGGTAAGAACAGCGGTGAATCACCAGCCCAAACATGTCTGTCTACCATGCACAGACTCCCACCATGTACGTCTGTACATTTTGCACAAACTGTGTTTATTATTAACTTTAATCTTTAATAATAAATGCTGAGAAAGTCCTGTGAAGTCAATGGTTAGGGAGTAAATTGTCTTGCCAGTTACTACAAATTGACACAGAAATGGCAATTTCACTTGAGGACATTTTATTGAAGAGATCAGTGGCACATTGAAACACCATCAGCCTGACATGTAACAGAGTCAAAGCTTCAGAGGGGAAAATAATAACAAAAAAATGACAACAGTTCAATAGAGCAGGTAGATCACAGCTTACTGACAAAAACCATCACAATTCAACACACTGAGCCCTGCTAAGCCATCTTTACAGGTACAATTTACAACCAGCTACGAGGATGACCATCAATGTCTTTTCTTTAAGGAAAATCAAACATGTGCATCCAAATAATGAGCAATTATGGTCTGTCAATGTATTGCTTACAGAGCTCAAAGCCAATACGCTGCACACAATGATATGTACATCTAAATAAATGTTGAAAAAGGTTATTATAAATTGTGCAAAATGTTGTAAATATTGTCTAATTGTGTTTTAATTGATATGTCAGTCTAGCCTATACAACTATAAGTCTCAAAAGTGACAGTTGAAAAGCATAGTAAAACATGTGGCTATATGGGTCAATGTATACGTGAGTAAGGTATGATTAGTAAGAAGTAAGAAATGGACACAGGTACAGTGTAAAGTCACTAATGCCCTGTCCATATAAGTAGAGTGGGCCAATCAATATCACCTTACAGCATTGTGTAATCTGATGCCTTCTAATGAGCTAAAATGTGATAACTAACAGCTAATTCTTGTAATGTACAAGTTAAAGCTAGCTAGTGTAGTGCTTACAAAAAGCAATATTATAAAACATTCGATTAAACTCTAAGTTTGATTCTCTGAAAAAAAAAAACTATTTTTACAACTGGTCAGAGACTGAATGGTGGCTACTAGTGGGCAGATAATATTCCTAGTCAAATTAAAATATGGTTGAGCCCCTTCCCTCTTTCCCAATCAAACAATAAATTTGGATTTGATTTTAGCTCACTCTTTTTTTTGTTTCACAACCTATGGACTAAATACTGTAATGCATGTGTGAAGAAGCATATTCAAGCTTTTTGCTGTCAACAACACTTTTTTTTCTTCAGGTAAGGCCTTGAGTTTCATGAAATAAATGATCCATTTTTGTTGCTCATCTGTATCACTATTTAAAACCAGGGTTGAACTGCAATGCATTGGTGGAGAACTACTCTTTCCACGTTAGTTTCAACTGATCCATTGTGTGAAGGTATGAACTGATTTACTATGGGCAAACACGGGTGAATGAAATGAAAGAGTGACTGGCTTGTGTGCTGCGAGTAACTTGAGCCTTCATATTGTAGATTTGCTGAGGTCACTGAGGCACTACGTCCTTTATGGAGGCCAGGGCTGAGTGGATGCGAACGTGAAGCCTGTTTTCAAAGTCGTAGCCTGTGAAATCCTCCTGGAAAAAAGACAAAATAATAGAAAGACATAATATTAACTCAATTATGACACACAACTGAAAAAACAAACAAGTTCTCTCAAACCAGTAATTCTTTTAAATATTTTTTCTCTGCACACTATGCTATCTAAACTATCTGAATCTAGACACATCTGAGCTAAAACATACTTATTCCTAAACCTCTTTGCTCCCAAAAACCACCAGCGCAGCTTCCCATCTCCAACTCCAATCTTTCTGTATTACCTTTGCTTGAAGAAGAAAAGACCTCCCCTTTCCAACAGTCTACAAAGAAAAACAAACAAACAAAAAAGATATGTTAGATGCCAAAATCAATTTACAGAGACAGTTAATGATATTTGAAAAAAATTATGTTTCAATAGCTCACCTCTGCTTTTCCCAGTAGTATACAGCCCAGCTCATAGACAGAATAAGGCTGAACATAGGAGTTAATCTGGCGTCCGTACTCGTCTCTAGCAGCCAACTGAAATGACTGAAACAGGGACAAAACTTAAGGAAAGTAGAAAAAATCTTATAAGAATATTACTTTTTTTTGCAGGTCAAAGCAGATTCACTTTGGCGATTGAACTTTGCACAGAATGGTCAATTGCCCAATCAGCAAAAACTCAACTGTTGGCAAAGGTCCAACTTAATCCCATCACCGTTATGACATAATTTTGTACCAGGAAACCTCAGGACATGATGCTGTAAGCGGTATGGAAATGAAGTATTCTAAAGAAAAGCACTACTTAAATGTGCACTATGTAACTTTTCAAGTGAGGGGTCTGCTAACAACATTACTTACTTACGAGATGCTAAAGCAGACCTATTATGCAACACTGACTTAATTAATCATGTTACTGTCATGATTCATGTTTTATAGTCATTGCTTGCTCTCTGCTTGCAGTTTAGAGTTTTACTTCCTGCCTTGATTGTTTGCTCGGCCCTAATGTGTTACACCTGTATCTGTGTGCTTATATACCCTGTGTTCTCCTCTGCTCTTTGTTGGTCCATTGTCATTGTCACTGTCAGTGTCCTTGTCAGTATCTTGTCCTGTCATGGCAGTTTTGTGTCGGATTTTGGGATTTATGGATTTTTGGATCTTTCTTTGCTTGTTATTAAAAAAAACTTTAACAGCAGTCCTGCATCTTGGGTCCTCCCACTATTTATATGTGACAGTTATAGTTGTTTGCCATCACCATTTACTCACCCAAAGTTGTATTTTGAGTGAACTGTGCATATTTGAGCAACCTTTCATCACTTATTTTCAAGAAGAGATTTTGCCTATCAACCTCTGTTTTCACTGCCACAGGTACACGCCCAGTGCTCTGTACTTACTTCATTCTCAAGTATAATTTTCTGTGATACAGCGTAGAATTCGGCAGCTTTCTGTAGTCATTGTGGCACAAAGGAAAAAAAACTTTACTGCTCACTAGTGTGATGTGCAGCTATCCATCGAAGGGGCAGACAGCTCCACTGCTCTTTGTTGTGATTATGTTTATGGCGACATCTGCTCTGATTGGGCACCAAAGATTTAAGTGTTATTTTTTATTAAGTTTTATTAAGCCATTTTAAATTAATATTGTGATTTAAAATGTGCAAATTGTAACATAATGATCCATGGGAGTCATAGATTATTTAACTATATAACACAAGCACAATATGTCTTCTTTAATGCTTTGTGCCACAGCATGACATTAAAATGATCTCACATACATTTTTTTTTTTTTTTTTTTTTTTTACTGCAAGTGGGTTCACCTCTCTCCACAGATCTGACCTGTGGAGTCACCAGAAAGTGATTTAATTCCATACTATGGGATTAATTCCAGGCAAAGACAATCAGGTAGTGGACTGTCTACCAGATAAGTTACATAGTGCATCTTAAAAAATATATAACTGACTTGTATCTTTCAAATATGAAACTAGTTGTTAACCTGTTCATTGGAAAAATGCAACATTCAAGAAAATCTGGAACTAAAAAGTTCAATATACTTGCAATGTGTTAAGACTCAGTGTTCTTAATTAAGATAATGAAGGTAGATAAAATGTGGTCTATGTTATTAAATGAGTTGTCCATTACCTGAACTGCATCTCTGATGTTCCCGTGACATTTATGAATGGAGCCCAGCAGCAGATGTTTCAGGCCTCTACAGGATGTGTCATCTACTCGTTGCAACACTGTCCAAACGCACAAACCCTCAGACTAAACTCATATTTCAAACAAAGTTCTGACACACTCTAAAGCTGTTTTACCCTGGTTCATGATCTGAAGTTTGGATGGGGAACAGTTCTGCAGGGCCTTCCACAGATACAGCACCTCGATAACTCCCAGGATGCACAGCTCTCTCGTGGGGGACATTTTTCTTAATTTCTCAGCCTACATAAGGAAATGCAGAAATATGTGAGATAGGAATTAAAAGCAATTCTTAGGTCAAAACACATGCATTAATTATAATTTTGTGAAAAGGAGTCATTTTAATTGTATATGTTGTATTATTTCAAGAGTGTCAATCTTATCTTTTCTTGTTGTGCAAGTGTTTACATTTTCCAGCCTTGGGACATTATTCACTGTAATATAATGTAATTTGAATTGTATTTGAGTTTAAATTCACTAACCCTTTTAACAGCAAACTGCTCTATCTGATTGTTTTTTCTTTTAAAAAGCTTCTGCACATCTTTGAAGACAGCGTGAGCTCCTTCCAGGTCACCAGACGCTCCTTGACAGACTGACAAGGACAACATACATAATTTAAATAAATATTGCATTACATTTTTGGGGGTTTGCTGATGTGTGTGAGTTTACCTCCAGTCAAATAGGCGTAGTAGCATTGGGACCAGCGAGATTCATTCTTAAGTCGCTCAAACGCTCTGTAAGCATCCTCAAAGTTGAGCTCTATCATGCTGCACCAACCTAAAAAAAATATAATAAATATGAATGTGTTGTTTTGGAAAGGACATCATAGCAGTAAAAGAATGAAACATGACAGACCAATTTCATACAGACACACGTGCTGAATCTCCCTTTGGTCTGAGGCCAGCTCTAATGCATCATGAAAACAGGCTAAAGCACTGTTGATTTGGCACTGCAAACAAGGAGTAACGCAGAGAAAATACTTTAAGTAACAGCAACAACTTAAGACAGCCAGATGAATACGGTCGATAAAAGCCTGGCTATTGCAAACAAGGAAAAGGTATACATTCAGTGAACTAGGAAGCATATTATTAAAATGCAAATATGACTGTGGAACAATATAATAGGAAGAAACAAAAAACAAACTCTAAAACAGTATTACCACTACAAAACCAGATAACATGCATTTGCTGTACTTACCTCTAGCCGGTGAACTCTGCCCTTAAAAAACATGAAGAGAGAGGAGTTTGGATAAACTACAGATTTTCTCTGAAGAATCTCTTTGGCCTCGAGGAGCCCAGCATGAGTGTCTGAGCCGTCCAGAGCAAAAAAGGGCAGCACTACTGTGTGGTACCACAAGAGGGCCAACCTGAGGCACGACACAGAGAAGGAAAGTGTGTAAGTGTGAAATGTTTCTTATATCACTCAGTTCAAGTATAAAAACATTTTCACTGCATTGTCAGCTGGGATGAAGATGAACATCACATTTATAGTGTCATGATATGCAATAACTGAATAAAATATCAGGGTAAAATCCAAAATGAATGGATTTAATTTCATTTCCAAAGGATTCAGAAGTCATCCACCCAATAAACTTGCTCAATCAGGTCAAATCTTGCAATCCAAAGACATATCTCAATGAAGATTACAGTGCACAATGTGTAGGTTTAAACTTTCAGTTTGTAAAATTAAACAGCTCTTTTGACATGACATGAGCCATTTTCCACTTTGATGCATGAATATTTAAAATCCATTTCATCCAGCTACTTCAGAGCAACACATCACAATTAAGTAAAGTATCTTTCCAATCTACTCCTTTCAAATGATGTTTTAGCGTGTACAGTGCAGTCAAGACAGGCAGGTGTCCCAACAACAAGCCATACGGTCATCCTGCGTTTGTTTACTGTGGATATTGATCGACCTCAAGCTATGACCACACCTCCTGCTTCAATCAATTGAAATCCCAGCTCAGCCCCTCTTACCTAGATAAGCTGAATCATTCACTTTTTTTTTTTTATAATAGGATTTTGTTTTGATACCACAAGTATGGTAGTTTTTCAGTATATTCATAGTATATTATTCTATTGTTGTAAAAGTTTTAGTCTTAGTTTTGATTTACAAATTATGTAATCTACTTTTAAATTGTATCGTAAGTGGTATCTTAAGTTGCTATTGAAAGCCAGCATTTATATTAGGTAAATATATTTTGTTCATCTATCAAGTCACTCAAAAGGTGCACTATAACTTTTTGGTTGTCATTGGTCTGCCTGAAATGTTCCACAGTACGACATAAAACAGTTCTACCTTACATTTATTCAATTTTAGATGATTTTATAGTTGAAAAATACCTAGAAGCTATTCTGACTGAGCGGGGTTGCCTCTCCACAGATCTGACCTGTAATTTGATCTGGTTTAGTTTCCATGAAGACAGAAAGGTTTAATACCATAATGTGAAACATTTCAACGCAATAACATCTCCATGGAGAAAAGCATTACATGGACCCTCCAGCAAAAAATGTATACAAAGCACCTTTAAGTTACTATCGAAAGCCAGCATTTATATTAGGTAAATATATTTTTTCATCTTTCAAGAGACTCTTAACATTCATCACAGTGCTTCCGTCAAAAGAGACATACTCGCTAAGCCAAGAGCCCACTTACGTAGCGAGCGGTGCCTTCATGTCCTTGCTCTCGCTGGCGTACATGAGGGAGGACAGCCCCTGTGTCCTGTCTCCAGGAAACCCCAGCAGGTTGATGATCTTCAGGAGGTGAGGCGGGACCATAGAGATGCACAGGTGAAAGAGGCCATATCCAAAACTGACAGACCCTTTGAGACGGTCCAGGGCCTCATCTGTGACCCCAGTCTCCGCTGGGACCTTGGGCTGGGGGCTGGTGTTTGGACTGGACTCCGGGCTGGGGCTGTGGTTGTCGTTGTCCGTGCTCATGGACTCCGTTTGGGGGACAGAGGAGCGGCGCTGGGAGGCCTCCTGGAGCTGGGAGATGTCGCTGTGGCACTTGTTGTACATTTTCCAGGCTTTGCGCAAGATCCAGCCTCCTTTGATGTAGGCTGAGTGAGATGACAAAGTGTGAATAAATATATGGATGGGTAAATAATAGAAGTGTAACGCTGATACATATGCCCGCTGGTAAAATGGAGATTGCACACTAAAGAAAACAATCGAAAACAATATTTATCTTGAATATTTTTCCACTTTCTTCCACTTCTTGATCTGCTGATTGTCTAAAACAGAGGTGTCAAATTCAAATTCACAGAGGGACAAAATTAAAAACTGTGACTAAGTCGTGGGCCAAACTAAATATTTATCTGCACATTTTCTCTTCTTTTGAGATATGTAATGTTAAACCTTTTCTTAAATATAAAATAAATGTTTAAATATAGTTTTGGTTAAACAGTGAATCCAGAACAAGCAAAATATAAAATAATAATATTTTAAATAAATAATGTCTCTATAATCTGTAGCCTATAGGCCAGCTCTAATACATATTTGATATGATCTTGTGGGCCAAATATAATTATATCGCGGGCTAAATTTGGACCCCAGGCCTGAGTTTGATATGTCTGATCTAAAACAACAGTTCCCAACCTTTTTTTATCTTGTACCCCCTAACTCGGGTAAGGAGTACTGTTTTAAGTAAAAAGCTAATACATTTCTAATTATTACAATTATATCTTCTAGTTTTTATAATTTTGATATAGCAATTAAGTGTACAAAAAGACATATCATTGTCCTTCAAAGTAAAATTCATTGCTATTCACTTTCACCTTTTCTCTAAAAGTGAAATCATTCCAGGTCCCTGTATAAATAGTTGGGAAACACTGATCTAAAGGAAGTGGGTGTAGATGGTTTGTTAGTAGTCTTTTGTAATAAGGTAACAGGATTATTTTACAATTGTAGAAATACTATATTACTATTTAGAAATGAGTACTTTCATGTCTCTTAGTTCTATAAACTTAAATGTGACTTATTTGTTGTTTCCAGTCTTTGTTGATTTAGAAGTCTGGGACAAGCTCCAGTGAATCACACGGATAACAAAGAGAGACACTGACAGATCACCACGAGCGCTGACATTCATTTACTGAGATCAATCGATCTGCACATGCTGTATGTTGGAATGGATACAAATGCCCAGTTTTATTACTACTCCCACTATTAATACCTCATTTACAAACTAATGGCAGTTGTATTACCAGACAGTTCTTGTTTGACGAAGGAGAGCACGGCAAGGTACACCTGACAGTCCGCCACAATGATCTGCCTCTGGAGCCGATCCACCACAGCCACACCTGACCTCTGGGAGTCCATCTGCACAAACAAACACATTCACAACTACTCATTCAAATACACAAAGATGCACTCCATAATTTTATCAGATTATCTAAAACTGATGTCCATCTATCATGCATATGCTAAAATGATCCTCATAATAACCCAGAGTTGATTTTGGACACACTGCAATGCTCAGTTTTGCAGCTTTGAGGTAGCTAGTCTCATTGTTACGGACAATAGATACACTCACAATATCCAATTTCTTTTCCAATTTGATCTTGTAGTAGATAATACACAACAGAGATTTATACAAACGCACACTGGTTAAACTACACACACAAACTCTAATTCAATTTATATTAAGGAGGAGTTTCCCCAGTGGCACGAGTCCAGGGAAGAGAGGAGACTCCAGGACATGTGCGGACTCCTGATTTCATCTCACACAGACAGTAATTCAATCAGAGAGCGGCGCCGTATGAGATCATAGCTACAATAACAGTCATCCACATCAGAAAACAAGAGAGGTACGACATTACACTTTTAAGAAAAACTTTAGTTAAAATATGTACTTTACTGGTAAAATTTGTAGTACAAAGGAAAATAAATAAATATTTGAATCTACAGATGGATGTGATGAAAAAAATATGCACAAGTTTTCTTTCCTCATTTGGGTTGATTTTATTTTGTCTTATTAACCAGTAAAAATGTCTTTCGATATCAATTTCCTGAACATAAATGATACAGACTTTTAATCATCAAACTAGTCAACAATAAAATAGTAAGTTTTCTTCTATCTGAAATCTGGTATAACGATTAAAAATCAGGTTTAGGATGCTTGAGAGGTCAGTTTTGTAATAGCAATCTAATAGCAATCTGTTACTTTATATTTGCATTTGCAACTTTCAAGTGTGTAGATCATACATGGTGGCCGGTCCAAAGGTTAGCTAAAAATGGCAAACAGCAAGATAGATTAACTATTTCCAAATCCTTAACTTGGACAGTGTGAAATTTGGGTATATGAGAGGAGAACCTTAGAGACAATGGGCAGACATATAATAATAAATGAGCCATGTTTGCTTTTTCACAGTGTAGGCAACTTCTCTACCTTTAAAACAGAATATCATTCTGGCATTATATCAGTATTATATCAGTGATTGGTTCCTTAAAATTAAGATACTGGTAAATTAAAGGGACTGTATGTAGCCTGTGCTCTTTCAGTTTGGAAAAAGGTATCACAAACCTAAGCCAGGGTTGCCAGTGCCATAGCCTGCCTATATGGGCAGCACATACTACAGCTGCAGACACTGATTTATGTGGCTGGGGTTTAGACAGTGAGGATTCAGATCTCAGCACTGAAACTGGCAAACTAAATGAAAAAGTTCATGTGGTGCTTTTTAACTGGATTATCAACCAAAACACCAAATTATAACAAACAACCAGATGGGAACACAGATGGGTCATGGGTTTATGGAATTTAAAATTAAAATCTTACATTATAAAATACGGTACAACCATACACCAAAGAACAAAATGTATACTTTCAAGACTAACCTATATAGCTCTAGTAGATAAAAATAGCAGTTTGACAATGAATGCACCAAGAGACTACAGAATAGACTTTGATCCTATCGGAACGAGCAGATTGGACTTACACTCTTCTTGATCTTGTTGCGGATGGTCTCGATAACTCCGGCACTGTCACTCTCACACAGTTTCTCTGTGGTCTTCAGGTCATCACACGCCGTCTGCATCTTCTCCTCCTCAAACGTCATCATCGCATTCTGCAAAATAGTCAACAAATTATGCACAAAACTGGTTAGAGATGTGAATTACAGATGCTTATTCTTTATGTCACGTCGAAAATAAATAAATTCTAATCACACTGCATTCAGTGTGTAGGTACATTATTCTTGTACACGAAGGGACGGACAATTAAATACATAATAATTATATGCAACCTGCTATTGATCTTAGCAGTAAACTAGACTACTGTCCTCATCCCTGTTTGAGTCAGTGCCTGTAAAATACTGTAATTACAAAATTTTAGACCTTTTGTATAGGACAGTAACAAAAACACTGGTTACTCAATTCATGTCAGAAGATTTTTAAAAAGACATGTAAAAAACAAAATCCTCAAATTTCTTTTTGTGATCATGGTCCCTCTTACTACTCACATCATATTTTTCAGTGTAAATGTCATTTACGTAATCTTAAAGCCCAGAAATCTGATTATAAAAGATTTTGATGTGCATGTGAACAAAGCCATTGAGTTGTCGAGGCATTTTAGAAGCATCCTGTCAGCCTTCCCTAATTTTGCAATAAATATTGTACACCACAATTTGCATATTGTTTCATACTTCATGGGAATTTTACAGTTCTGGATCTACTACTGTTATGCATTGCAGCTTTTTATGATGTAGTTTGTAAACAAGTTCGAAAGCCAAAAGATACGGAGAAAGGATTAGTCAAAAATAATGCATTACACAACATGCATTACATTTGGAGGCTTCAGATTAGGAAAATTGTGGGTTTAAATCCAGCTCTGGCTAAGACATATGTACAGAAAAACAGTGAATAATAAATATGGACGTGACTAATTTAATCTCAACATAACAACAGACTATAGTATTTCTGACATAAACTCAGATTTCATTTCCTCTGTGCGCACAATTGCAGGAATGTGTCAGATCTGTGCAGAAACAATGAGACATACTGTAATACGACGGCATGTTGTTAGACAAGTGAAGTAAAGGACGGCGAAAACAAGCTGCTTTTGTGCTGCAGAAAGAAAGAAGGAACGCAGAAACATCCTCAGAAAAAGAAGACGAACCGATTTGGAAAAGTGCTAAAATGTGTTAATATTGGCAGAAATAAAAAGAAAATATGCAAATGAGTTTAATTTCTGTAATGCACATTGATTCACGCCTCTCATATTAGCATTGGAGGTCAGATACCACCACCCCCGCATGGCTGTAGTCTAGCAGCTGGGGACAGATAACATCACAGAATCCCATTTGGAACTGCTGAAATGAAATGGAGGCAGGTCGAATGTTTAAAAGTGCTATAATACATCACTAATAGACAGGAACATGCTGAAATTGTTCGCTTTTGATTCCTTCTGAAAATGTCATGGAATAATGTCTGAGTATGAAGTCATTATGCTGAGCCTGTCTCCTATCGCAGTTGTACACTACAGGCCTATAAAATGCTATGACTTTTATTGGAAGTCCAGTAAAATGTGTGTGTACAAGTCTGATAAAGGTGTACGGACTTTAAAAACAAAGAGGAGCTTGATGCTTTGCCACTTGGTTTATTGCATTTAATAATAGGGATGTAACAATAACCGAAATAACGTGATCGTCAAAGTTCTCACAATAATATTGTGGACCATCACAATATATTGAATTACAAGTCTCTTCGCTTAAATTAAGAGTTATGGTGCAGCAATAGCTAAAACAAAAGACAGAGGGAACTACATAGACCATGATCCTTTGCTCCATTTCAGTGCAGACTAAAAGAAGAAATAACAGTTCTAAGCACTTTTAAGTCTTAGTTCTTTGGATTAAGTCTTGTCAAGGCATTTTAAGAGGAAAAAGTCGCATATTCATAGTTTTGTTTGTTAGCCTCCTCAAAATATTCATAAATAAATATCCTACTATCAGATGTGTATCATAAAAATATCGTACAGAGAGATTTGGATATTGTTCCATCCCTAATTGTGAACCTCCCCACCATATCGTGAACTTTCCCACAATATCGCAATAAATATCGTACCGTGAGGTTCATACCATGACAATATCGCATTGTGAGACTTGGATATTGTTACACCCCTATTTAATAATAATAATACATGTTTTGAGTAACCCTATTATTAGTCTGTCTACATCTCCAAAGCTAAAAATGCTCTGTTCAACCTTGTGTTGTCATTAAATAGTAGAGTTCAAGTTAACATTTTACCTTTATTTCATTAAAGATTGGCAATTCCAGGACTGAAATCATCCAAGTGATTCTAGTGAAGGTGTATGGAGTTTAAAAACACAGTGGAGCACTTCCTGTATTCCCACATGACATCACAAGGTGGAACACGGTGTTTTGAGTTTGAGAGAAGAACAGCCTAAATATGCAGGGTTTGTGTGTTAAACATGTGTGAATGAAACAAAACTTAACTCTAGGTCTGTTTATGAATGTGTCATAAAGCCCACAGGACAATAAGATCCTCAGCGTGTCATCAAAGACTCAGAAATGGCATCACTTGAGTGGGTCCATGAGTGGGTCCATGAGTGGGTACGTGTGTGGGGGGGGCAGTGGGGGTGGCAGATACACACACACATCACTTCCTCTATCAGAGACTCACACAGCACATATTACAGTAATGCTCGTGGGGCGGTTGGGAGGAGGGATCCATTATGTTAATGGATGGAAAAGTGAAATGCAGAGGGAAGCCAGTTGTGACAATCGTCCAAGATTTGATACCGAGGTTTATCACTGGTTCTGATGACATCATATACCTGGCGCTGCCTTTGTATTTTTTTTTTCTAATCACACCCTTTCCTTTAAAACTAAACACTTTTAAAATTAATACTAAATGGCATTAAAAATAGGTAGAGTGCGAAGGTTTTAACAATCATGCATTCTTATGGCTGGTTGTATTAGGAAGGGCATCCGATTTAAAGTCAGTGTTAAATCTAATCACTGCAGACATTTAGAGGCAGATGATGTGCCGTCCCAAACATTTTACAAGTAACATATGGTGCTGTGTAAAAATGTGAATGAAGTATCTCTGTCCACTCTCTACCTCATTTTATAAAGCCTGCCAAGACAAATATGCTTAAAACTTATTCTGATTATGTAAACTAGTTATTCAGTTTGAATAAATAAAAAAGAGAAGGCCATTTGCAATGGCAGCGTCAGAATAAGCAATATAAATGTGTGTCCACAGTTTAAAAATAAAACTCACCAGGAAACTGACAAAGCTGGCTCCGAAGCTCATCAGAGGGCTCTGCGTCCTGAAGGAGGAGGAGAAAACAGCTCAGACAAACCAGGATGGATAACAAATCTTCAAAACTGACACAGTTTTGAAGCCATCATAAAATAAAATAAAAAACAAAAAAACTAAACTTGACATCATGCATTGTAATGTAAAAAAAATATACATATTATTACATATTTAGTATAGACATTTCAAGGTTGAATGTTCTGATATGGACAAAAGCAGGTTAACCCTGATATTTCTGACTCTTGGCTGTTGCCTTGGTGACAAGGACCTTTTGAACAAGTATCTGTGTAATTGTCCCTCTTCTGTTTGAGTTTCACAGGCCTCTGCTGAACATAGCAACTGAAGTCTCTGTCTACATTAATTAGACACTGTCCTCAAGTACTGCTAACTCCTATAATAGAAGACAGACCTCTGATCAGAATATGGGCAATGAATTATGGCAAGTGACTGTTTCTATTACAAAATAAATAACAGTCTGCTTTGAGTGGAAAATAAGATGTGCTCCCCAAATCCTTTTAAATTTGGCATTTACATTTATTCCTTAGGTATGTGTCTCTTCTCACATTAGCAATTGTAGACACTGAGCTGCGTATCGTACATTTTACTCACACATGCATGAGCCGTTGTGCATATTACTGTATTGGCATAGTGTATGCTCTCACGTGCAGCTTTGTAGTTACCTGTATCTCCTGAAGAGCTCGTCGCTCTCCTTGAAGCCGTTATTGAGGAGCATGTTGATGCCTTGCAGGGCCATCTCAGCATCATCTATGGGCTCTGCCTTCTCCTCGACCTGCTGCTGCTGCTGGGACTGCTCCGGACCCGCCATTGTGAGATCCACAGCGCGGAGGCTGCTGGCTGAGAGCTGAGCGAAGGTAAAGAAAAAATGATCCTGTTTCTAGCCTGAAGCCAAGCCGCATTGGGCTATTTCCACTGCTAGAGAGACGGATGTGAACCGAGACGCGCCTATGGCCGCTCCTCAGGGCAGCTCCGCAGCCTCCAGACGTGTGCACCTCAGGGAGGCAGGGCCCAGACTCAACACCGACTAACGGCGAAGCACGAAGAGCATTGTCCCCGTTACACACGGCCGCAGCTCACGCACATCTCCCAGCTCCGCTCCACCGTGCCCTCGCCTCCCAAACCGTACCGCTGTTGACGCATTACATAACAGAGCAGCTGGAGGCTCAGTCTCCGCCGCTCACGCTCGTGCACAGACGGGCTGACGTCAGACCGGCCGTAGCGCATCAAACTCAGGCCTCAGCTTTGCCTCCGTGCGCTCCGATTGGCGCAGACACGGCCCTGTCTCCAGCGCAGGGCCAATCAGAGGCCCGCACGGGCATCTCACTCAACATCCTCTGTAAGACAGGTGAGCACGAGCTTGTAAACATGTAACGCACATGCAGCTTGCGTGGGCCGTGGGCTGTTAAGATCCACTGACGCAATGCAATATATCTGTGGGTCTACACTGCAAACATTTAGACAGACAAGTCCAAAACGGGGTTGCAACGTTAAAATGAATGCAAACATATCAAGGCAACATCCAGATGCATTTTTGCAAGCTACTCCAATGCAAACAAGCTGAGCAAAGTCAAACATTGCAAATGAAAGTCCACAGAGGCGGATCCGTTGGCTCTGGGCACACTGGACGGGGGAGTGTCACAGCCAAGATAACACCGTCCTGACACTGCACCTGCCAGGCCGAGTATGGAGCTGGGATCATCGGTAAGAGCGATCCGGAGCACTAGGGTCCTGCGGGACTCTGAGTTACAGGCCGCGGTAGTTGTTATAAAGAACGGAAAGATTCACCATATTTTGAGCGATTCCAACTTTTCTGGAGCTGAGGTAGGCTAAACTGAACGAGAACGCCCTCTGCTGGTAGAAAGAGGGAAATTGCGAATATATCCATGGGGTTAATTGCCTAATCACATTGTTTTAGGTGTTAGATGTTGGAGACAGTGTGGTGATGCCAGGTCTAGTTGACAGTCATGTGCACGTGAACGAACCAGGGCGCACCACATGGGAGGGTTTCTGGACCGCCACCAGAGCAGCCGCTGCAGGAGGGGTGACAACTATTGTGGATATGCCACTGTAAATCTACACACAGCAATTTTGCAATCTCATTTATTTATTCATCCCACACTATTTGTGAAACTATTATGCAATTTGTACATTATAATTAGATAACAAAATGTACTTGTGTTTGTCCTTTCAGAAATAGCATCCCTCCAACCACCACACTTGCAAACTTTCAAGAGAAACTGCGTGAAGCGGCGGGGAAGTGTTTTGTGGACACTGCTTTTTGGGGTGGAGTCATACCTGGAAATGAGGTACACAATCTGCATTGGACTATAATGATGGATTCATCGTATCTCATATTACCTTCCTGTAATAAACTAGTGAGCCGTCATTGTGCTGTCTGTACAGTGGGAGCTTCAGCCGATGATCAGGGCTGGAGTTGCAGGGTTTAAATGCTTCATGATTCACAGTGGAGTGGACGAGTTTCCACATGTGACCAACAGTGATCTGCACACAGCCATGAAGCAGCTGCAAGGGACCGGTACTGTGCTGCTGGTAAGACCATAACAATCACCATTTTCAACCTTCAGATGAAAATGATGCAGATTTCTTAAGCTGAAATGTGTTTCTTGATCTAGTTTCACGCAGAAAGGGAAATCCAAGATGTCAAACAGGATTCAAGAGGTAAAAATAATAATAGTAAATAGTAATATTCACTTTACTGTTATGGCATAAAATCACTTACATCAAATCTTGTGCCTGTCGTATGCCTGGATAAATGGAAATCTGTTGCAATATTATGCAAATAAGGGAGATGTTGATACCTACTGTATGTTTAAGAATATATTAGATACATGCATTTATATTTGTAATGTTATCTCTAAATATGTTGCAAAAATATATACATATCAGAGTAAAATTGTGTTGTTTTTAGACCCCTGTCAATACTCCACTTTTCTGCAGTCAAGGCCAGATGAGATGGAAACTGAGGCCATTCGCATTGTCACACAGCTCTGCCTACAATACCAGTAAGAACACTAACAACTAATTAATTAATTAAAAGAGCAAATCATGCTCAGTTGTGCACTACACAAACACATCAGTCGTAGGTGTTCCCAGTAAAATTGGAGCCTAGATTCTGACAGAGCATGTTTTTTCCATCGTACGTCTAAACAAATATGTCAAAAGTCGGATATATTGTCAGATATGTCAAATAAATCTGAATTCCTCTTTTAAATAAGCTGTGGTTTGTTAAAGGGTGCGGTGTCATATAGTGCACTTGTCCTCTGCCCGGCCACTGAAGATGATCCAGGAAGCTCGAGAGACAGGGGCCCCTATCACCGTGGAAACCACCCATCACTACCTCAGTCTGCGAGCGGAGGACATACCAGCAGGGGCCACACAGTTCAAGTGCTGTCCACCAATCAGGAGCTCTGCAAATCAGGTGAACAGAACATTTATATCATATAATTATACTTTTGGAGAATCACGGTAATGTAATAGGATATTGATTCTGCTGTTAAGTTCAATCATTATTGTAATATTTTAAAAGTTTAGACATACTGGGGCTAAGACATTTATTCATGTTCACAATATTGAAAATGAAGGATCTTGGTCCATGTATCCCCCTCTGCCTCTTTACTCGTGTAATAAAATTGTGAAATGATAGAATGATGTATTTTGTGTTGTTAGGAGGAGTTATGGTCTGCATTAAAAGCCAGGGACATTGACATGGTGGTGTCTGATCACTCTCCCTGTACTCCGGACCTCAAAAGACTGGAGACAGGGGACTTTACGGAGGCCTGGGGAGGCATCTCATCTCTGCAGTTTGGTAAGGAGTTTGAAGACACCTTTGATGGTTTAACCCTGACAGAGGAGCCAGAAATTATATTAAAATAAATTATAAACAGATTTATTGAGGGATAATAGTGTTAAAAAATAGTGGTTTGTTAAAAATATAAACAATATGAAATTCTAGTACTATACATATACGAACAATGCGAAGTACTATACATATACTTTTGCAAAAATATTTAAAAAATCATGTCATTCTTGTGTGTAGCTAAACTTTTTTGGCATTCTCTTGCAATGGGTAAAGTTCACACAGAGCATGATCATTTACTGTCCAGACAGTGTTCAAATATTACCTCATTTGAAATCAGAGGCCCACTCCAATAAATGATAAAAAAAAGTATATATTTTTATGCATTTTTTAATAAAAATTTGACATGATCAGATGGTACATTTGTGTTGTTTTATTATTCCAGGTCTGCCTCTGTTTTGGACCTCTGCCAGTCAAAGAGGGTTTGGGTTGCCGGATGTGGTGAGACTTCTGAGTGAAAAACCTGCCGAGATGTGCCGCCTGGACCACCTCAAATCGAGACTCACTCCCGGTTTTGACGCAGACCTGGTCATATGGGACCCAGAGAGGGAGTTTGAGGTACAGTAATGGAATATGTACTTTAATCTACATTTATTAAACTGTTTTCCAAATCTAAAGAATATAAGTAATTAAAAAAGAGGCAACAAGTTGCTTCTTTGCAGCTCCAGAATGTGAAGTTGTAGGGACTCTTCAAGGATGAGGCCAAAATCACATGAGGAACTAGCTGAACATTTACCATGGAAGTTGTGCAAATGGTCGTATATCTTAAAAGCTGAGGCAAAAATATTAAAAGTCCTTCATTAATACATGGAGAAATATGAGTTATGTTTAACCTTTCTACATATTTTACAGATAATAGAAGAAAATATCCATCACAGGAACAAGGTAAACTCAGTCTGACAAATTTATTGCACCTTAGTCCACAAAAAGAAATCGTGTGTAGCAAATTCTAAATGTTGCACATGTCTAGTGGTAATAATTGTCAGTTACTTCATCCAATCACTGTCAGGAGAAATGATACAGCAATGGCAAAGGCAAAATATTATTGTGTAAAAAGTGTATGTTACGCACATTACGGTTTCTACGTTTAATGAGATGGTGTTTGTGTTTTAGTTGACGCCGTACCTGGGTATGAAGCTGCGGGGTGCAGTCAGGGGCACGGTGGTCCGGGGGCAGTTAGTGTTTTGGGAGGGACGCTTCAGCCCTGAGCCTCTGGGACAGCACCTCTTCATCCACCAGAGGAGGAACCAGGCACAACTATGAGGGAAATGGACAAACAAGTGCAAATACACAATTGTTACCTGATGACCCCTAGATTCTAAATGTGAAAACTCTGAATATTCCAGGCTATGTATTTACAAAGATGCAGTATTAATTAATATATTTCTTTCTAATAAAATGGAATCAGCAAAATTCAAAATTTTGTCAGAGTCAGTTTCTCGAAGTGGTGTGTTATTCTTAGAAAAATTTATGAAAGATATAGAAATAATAAACTGTTAAAATTGTTTTGTTTTACCAGAAAGTAGTAATGCCTTTGTTGTAGACAATATTGGTTGTCCCACTTTCCATCCTGGAAATTATTTAATGAATTTAACATGGAAAAGTGCAGATGTGCAGAGGTGTAGTAACAGGATATTGAGTTCAGTCAAGCTGTAAATGTGGCTAATAAACAAGTAATTGCAAGATCCTTTAAAGTAGTCCCTCATTGTAGCAAGAAAAGCATTTTACTTACCTTAAACTAGCCACTACTATAATGAAGATACAGTGGTTTGGTGAATGGTTGATTTTCATTACCTGTTTGCTAACTGGGGCATATGTAACAAGTCAATAATTAACATCTGAGGACACGCTGCCTGACTTCCTTATCTCTGTGACAACATTGAGCCACCAAAAAGACGTCCAAAAGTGTTATTTTGACAGCGCAATGACGTGATCAGACAAAGGGGAGTGTACAAAGAGCAGGTTTTAATAATTTTGTCTGCATTTGGATCTGCCGAAAACATGTCAACTCTTGCCATTCCTCCACCACAATGTCTGAAGAGGCCACTCCACGTCCCCCAGAGGCACATGTTCGGGCCGGGACCCTCCAATGCCCCAGACAGGATCCTAGAGGCAGGGGCCAAGCCTGTAATCGGACATATGCATCCAGAAATATTTGAGGTGAGTGGAAAGACATAGTGGAATTACAGTTGTAGTTGTGTTAGAAAACAGGGATAAGTGCAAGCTATTGTGCAAGTTGTTGCAGGTGCAGCCACATTAACAAGACCTCTTTATAGTTAAGCAAAAAGCAGGGACATTAGACACAAAACAAAGATAGGACACGATGATCATTGGGGACATGGTATGCTTTCAAAATAGCTCCTACATTTTCAAAACCACATTTAAAAGGTTAATTTGTTTATGTAAAATGTTATGGAATCATGCAACTAATATCCTACTTATAAAATTAATCTGATTTAGCAAAAAAATAAAAACAAAAAACAATTAGATAAACGACCCTGTATGGATAATGTGGATCAGACATGTCAAAGTCAGGCCCGGGGTCCTAATTTGGCCCATGATATAATTATATTTGGCCGAAGAAATCATATCAAATATGTATTAGAGCTGGCCCACCGGCTACAGATAGGCTATTATTTATAAAAAATGTTGTTGATATTTTATATTCTGCTTGTTCTGGATTCAATGTTTAAGCAAAACTATTATTAAACATTTATTTTAATAAGAAAAGGTTTAACATTACAAATCTCAAAAGAAGAGAAAACATGCAGATGTTGTTGAAATTTTTCAATAAATACTTAGTTTGGCCCATGAGTTAGTCCCAGTTTTTAATTTTGGCCCTCTGTGAATTTGAGTTTGACACCCCTGATGTAGATATTTTTGTTGCAAAAAATGCATTGATTTATAGCTTAATGGTACATTATGTAACTTTTTGGTTGGGGGTCCATCACCTGCTTGTTTCCATGGATACGTCATTGCTCTGCCTGGATTGTACCACACTGTGATATTAAACAGTTCTACTTTCCATTCCAGGTGGTTTTATAGCTCAAAAATACCTTGAAAAACAAGCGTTCTGATTGTCAGCGGGGACGCCTCTCCACAGAACTGACCTGTAACTTGGTCTGATTTGGTCTCCGAGAAGATAGAAAGGTTTAATTCCATACTGTGAAACATTCCAGACAAAGCAATAAAGGATTTGACGGACTCTCCACCAGTCACACAAAGCACCTTTAAACTTGAACTCGGAAATTCTAATGTAACATGTAAAATATAACAAATTGTCCACTGATTATTAAATGTAACATCAAAGTGATAATTTTACTCAGTACTAATAATAAGATAATTGTACTTATTTAAAATATTTACTGACAGATAATGAGCGACATCAAAAGTGGGATCCAGTACATGTTCCAAACTCAGAACAAAGTGACGTTTGCGGTGAGTGGGACGGGCCACACGGCGATGGAGTGTGCCATTTTTAACATTGTGGAGCCTGGAGAGAGTTTCCTGAGTGTGGTCAACGGGATCTGGGGCGAGAGGGCAGCTGACATGGCTGAGAGAATAGGTACGTAAATAAAAATACATAAATTAATACAGAAACCAGTTCATTAAATGAAGTAACTGCACAATAAGCCTAACCAAAACCAAACCAACCTGAATGGTAAATAATAATAATAATCATTTCATGTTATTGATAAAAAAAACAAAAAAACAAACAAAACAATATATACAGTTTAAATGTTTGAATCTATACCCCTTGAGAAAAAAAAAAAAAAAATTTAGGAAAAAAGTCAATGTACGATAACACAATACTTAATAATGAGGGGGTTATCGGGGTTCAGCGAATACAAATAATTATTGACCAAGTATTTTGTTCAACCTCCAGGTGCCAAAGTAAACACTATTGTAGCACCCCCTGGTGGATTCATCAGCATAGAAGAAATTGAGCAGGTACAGCTTTGTCATGCATACAAACAGTTTTAAAATATACTGTACCAGGGGTCTCCAACCTTTTTCATCTGCTTTTTGTAAAACGAAAATGCCAGAGAGCTACTAATTTTAGCAGTCGTCAGAAATTTTGTAAATATAAGAGCCATGGTTACCCGATGAGGTACAGTTAGATGTCTATAAAACATAACCCATTATCCAGTTATCAGTGCACAAAAATAGGCATCAAAATTATACATTTACAAAGGAAATAGACATTTAATCAATCAAATTTGAGTTATTGAGCTACAGGTTGGAGACCCCTGTACTATACTATGACAGGACAGTTACAGTAACTGTGTGTATAATCTTGACCCACAGGCATTGTCAAAATACAGACCTGTGCTGTTGTTTGTTACACATGGAGAGTCATCAACTGGAGTCCTGCACCCTTTAGACGGCATCGGAGCACTCTGTCACAAGTTAGATCAAATAATGGATATAAAGTTGAATCCAAAGATATGTGACAAATATACAGGGTTCCCACTCTTTTTCACTGACAAAATTTCAAAGTTTTTCCATGACTTTTCATGACCTAAAGTGAATTTTCAATGACTTTACCACACCCTACATGTGTAGAATTGATCATACTTTTAGGGCTAAATATAAAATATTAACTCTTTCCACTCACCTTATGCTTTGGTATTATAGTTTTTTAACTTTCAAAATACTCTCAGTGCATTTATTGTCGTATCTTTTAAACAAAAGGAACAGACATTTGGAAATAATCATAATAGCCTAATGATAATTTAATAGAACGCTGAAGTTGCATGAAAGACATACTAAAATTCCATGACTTTTCCAAAACTTTCATTGAATTTACAAAACTCCATGGCTTTTCCAAGATTTCCATGAACCCTGAATATACTTGTGTTACAGTCATAAGAAATTATTAGAGCTGCTTACTTATGGCAGTGGTGTAACTAATACTAATTACTGATATTTCTTCAGATATGACTGTTTGTTACTTGTTGACTCCGTGGCAGCGATGGGAGGAACACCTTTGTACATGGACAAGCAAGGTGAGCACCAAGCTGATAAAACTGTATTGTTGTTTGGGATGTTGACATAATAATATATCTTTGGTAGCACAACTCTAAAACTAACATTGCACGGTTTGAGTTACATTTAAGATTTGCATTTGACTCAATATAGTTTCCTTATTTGCAGAGATAGACATTTTGTACACAGGATCACAAAAAGTCTTGAACGTTCCCCCTGGCACAGCTCCCATCTCCTTCAGTGAACGAGCATGGTATGAGTTTGACTTATTTCCAATTACTACAAGGAAAATTAAATACTAAATTCAGTTTGCCTGCAGTCAGAAAATATTCAACCGCAAAACCAAACCAGTGTCTTTCTTCTTGGATCTGAGTTGGCTGGCGAACTACTGGGGATGTGACAACAAGCCGGCAAGAATGTAAGATTAAACTATACAAAACATGATGACCAGTGACCGATGATTTACAACATAGCATCTGCAGTTTATTAGGAAGCAAGTGTAGATTTTGTCTTTTTGATTTTGAAAGTTGAGAGCTAGAAAATGATTAATAAGTGTTATAAAAAGCAATATTATATCATATAATTACCATCTCTAAAAATGTAGCATCTTTGAGTAAAGGCAAAAAAAAAAAATTGGGTAAAAAATAATCATTCAAACAAGGCTATGAAGTCGTTTGTGGATAATTTTAAAGTCCATTTGTCTGATACTTAAAGGTAAAATCCTTTTCTCCATGGAGATGTTATTGCTTTGTCTGGAATGTTTCACAGTATGGCATTAAACATTTTTATCTTCATGGAGACCAAACCAAATTACAGGTCAGATCTGTGGAGAAGCAACCCCACTCACAGTTAGAATGTCTGTGTTTCTAGGTATTTTTAAGCTATAAAACCACCTGCAATTTAATAAATATAAGGTAGAGTTGTTTAATGTCATACTGTGGAACATTCCAAGCAGATCAATGACATATTCATAGAACAGGAGTCTCCAACCAGTAGCTCTCCACCCCCACCAAAGTAGTTCACCAACGGATTTTGAAATTATACCACTGTGCTGAATAACAAAAAATGTGGTTAATTACATGCCTATTACCATTGTAAATGTATAATTCTGAAGCCTAACTGAGTGCACTAATAAATGGGCATTGGTTTATGTTTTATAGGCATCTAACGCCACCCAAAGGCTCCCCCTCTTTCTTATAATCATCTCAATTTCTTGTGGCCACTAAAATGAGTAGCTCACTGGCATTTCTTTGTAAAGGTAGTTCACCAAAGGAAAAATGGTTAGAGACCCCTGTCATAGAAACAAGCAGGTGACGGACCCCCAACCAAAAAGTTACACAGTCTACCTTAAACCTCAAAATCATTACCACATTCTGTCGAATTGCCACAATATTTTTGATTATCTTTATTGGGTCCCGAGACTGGCTGCCCCAAAACAACAAAATGTTTGAAAGAAGGGCTCATATTCCCTACTGACACAATAAAGTCTACAAAAATCTATTAGAAGTGGTCCAAGAAGGGATTGGAGTGAAGCAGCAACAGGTTATGCAGTAAGCAATGGTTTGTGAAGTAGTGTAGTACAATTAAACTGAGCACCTTCATGCACTATAATAAAAATGGATCAGGATACACATTGCATTGTAGTTTGTTTCATACGTGATGGCGCATTGGGCAGGTGATCATAATGTTAAGCCTGACTGGTATAAAGAATGAACCACCTACAGTATAATACACTATATTTATTTCCTTGCAGATATCACCACACTGGGCCCATCACAGCTTTTTACACTTTGAGGGAAGGCCTGGCTATTCTTGCTGAAGAGGTGGGAAATAATTTGATAATTTCCTGGACTGTAGCGTTTTAAATTTTGTGATTATGATTATTAGGGTCTTGAAAATTCCTGGAAAAGACATGAGTCGGTGGCCGAGTATTTCCACGCTGGACTAGAGAGCATGGGCCTAAAGCTGTTTGTTAAGGAAAAAGTAAGTGCAAAAGTGAAAAGTAACTTTAAAATGTAGTGAAGGCATCTACAGACAGTTCTTCAGTTTTCAATATGACTGCAATGTCTTTCTATAATCCTTTCAGAAAGCTAGATTACCTACAGTTACTACCATTGTTGCTCCACATGGATATGACTGGAAAGAAATCACAGCATACATCATGAAAACTCATAATCTGGAGATATCAGGAGGCCTTGGTCCTTCTGTGGGTCTGGTAAGAAAATAACAACTGTGTTTAAAATTACTTACAAAGATCTTTTATGACTCCTCTTTTTTTTCTCGTTCTCAGGTCTTGCGCGTTGGACTGATGGGATGCAACAGCACTAAGGCCAGTGTTGACATGGTTTTGGCCGCTCTCAAAGATGCTCTGAAACACTGCCACAAGAGCAAAGTATAAAGATACTGTAATAAAATGTGAATAGGGGTAATAAATAATGTTTAAAAATATCAAGAAATGTTGTTATTGATTGTATGCAGCCCAAAAGGTGTCCCACTACCTATTTCTTCCCTTGTTTTGTCCATAGATCCATGGCCTAGTCTTGATTTAGACCCTGGGTAGGCCTGCCACAAATTTTGAAGCATGATATATTTCTATAGAGATATATTGAAATAAACGAAAATACTGAACCTATTTTATGCCACGGATACAATTAAAATAAAGCAGAATATTCCCCCATTTTTAAAAATAGACTAGGGAAAGCAGATGTCCCTATTTACCTGGGACAGTCCCAGTTTTCAGCGGTGTGTCTCCTGTCCCAGCAGATTTATACAAAGCCAGTAACTTGTCCCTGTTTTATACAAGAAATGTGTCAGGTGTCCCTATTTTTGACCACTTTAATCTAAACAAGGACTAAACCAGGACTAAACTAAGACTAAACCAGGACTACATCAGGTCTAAACCAGGACTAAAAAAACATTGACCTGCTTGGAAATGACAATAAAGTAAAAAATAAAAAAAATATATATATAAATGCAGCGTCAGAAGTCTCTCAGATTATGACTGCTCTCTGCTTTCATGCTCTTTATACCAACCATCCCAATCTGGAGGTGTCCCTGTTTTGAATATTGAAAATCTGGGTCACCCTAAAATAGACAGTATCATTAAAGGGCATAAAGCTGCACCAAACAAACAGCAGAATGAACCAATAATAATTAGCTATACAGTCACTTATTCAATCCTGTACAGCTCAAATCTCATCGTATTACAACATAAATTAAAAAAAAAACTCCCAAATTTTGCATAGAAAAAGTGCCCACCGTAAGTATTAATCTGGTTTAATCATGTTTTAGGCTTGTAGTGCAGTAGGATAATTTTCTAAAATACTTAACATTCTAATGTATTTATTATTATAATATCTAAGAACATCTAAATAGGACAAACAAAAATAAAAACAAGTAACAGACATATAGATTAGCAAAGGCGCAAAGCAAAAATATGACCAGGGTTTAAAATCAAATAAAATCACAATGGCGTATTTTTGTATTAAAATCATTCGTCAATTCAGAGGAATTTTTTTTTTTTTTTTTTTAAGTATTAACAGTCTTAATTCACAAATTTTAGATCAGAAATCTTGAACAAACATCTCACCAACTCTCCGTGACAGCAGATGGCGCGGCGCTGCGTAATGGTGCTCTCCTCTGCGCCAAGAACCACTTCCGTATTTATTATGTGACCTAAAAGGCGGGTAATCAGCAGCGTCTGTACAGAGCACTTTAGTTTTATGTAGAGTCGAATTTAGAGTCGATTAAACATAAAATGGCGTGCAAAAGAGGAGCGCTCATAGTCCTGGAAGGAGTAGACAAAGCGGGGAAAACTACGCAGTGCAAGAAACTCGTGCAGGCGCTGGAGCTGAGCGGACGACCGGCAGAGATGATGAGGTTTCCCGGTAAAATATAAGCCTTCTTGCGTTCATAAATAATGCTATTGTTAAGTCAGAAACACCAAAGACGTGCTCATTAGTTTACTTTTGGCAGTGAATCCATCTGGCACGCGTCCTGTAGGCTGTTTCCCTCCTGAATCAAAATTCTCTGACTCTTTCTGATCCTCACCTATCCAAGTCTACCCATTGATAAATATGTTGCTGATTCAATATAGACACCATTATTTATTTCACATTTCCAATCGAAAAGCACAGGCAAAGATGGGGAAACGCTGTGAACTCGCTCTGTTTTGTTTTTATGCGTGTTCCAGACAGGACCACCACCATTGGACAGCTGATCAGTGCCTACCTGGAGAAGAAAAGTGATTTGGAGGACCACACTGTGCACCTGCTCTTCTCTGCCAACAGATGGGAACTAGTGTAAGACATCTTTTTATTTGTTTATATATTTCAACGGTGAGCAATTATTTTTTCTATGAGCCCACATGAGAAACAAAGTATTGTGGAGGGCCTGGCCAAAGCGCTTAACACAATTCTGCATAATATTAATTGTATTTCTTTATAAAAAGCAGTAAATAGCATTGTTTTGACGAACTGGTAAGACTGGTAAGAGTTTATGTTATGACTGAGCAATGAAAAAGTGAGGTTGCCTTACAAAAAATCATAAAAAAAAAGCACACACACACCTCTAAAATAAAAGCAATGCAGCCATGTATGAGGTAAAATTATAAAATATGTTTCTTTTGTAATTCCAAATGATCATAAATGGGCCGGTCAGAATCAACCAAAGGGCCACATGTGACACGGGAGCTGTACAATGCCCAGGTGTGGTGTATTAAATCTCCTTTTATTGCACTCAGAGACTCAGACACACCTCACAAACTGGGAGATCCAGTGTTTGATGTGATCTGTATTAGGGCTGTGCAAAAATATTGTAATATCATGATACTAAATTTAGCTGTACAGTATTGTTATCGTATAATACTTTTGGTATCTTTTAGCATCTATTATTTATGACTAGTGATCACAATACAATTCTGTTGCTTATTTAGTGGGAGGAAACTTGTTTATGTAATGCACTTGACAAATTCACAGTTTTGATTAAAGTAGAGGTATTTCCTATCAACTTTACAGAAGTAGTGGTTTAACAGAAAAATACTGTTGTTAAAATCTATTTGGTTAATAAAAAACAGCATTATATCATGTGGAATATATTGATTATCGCATGTCTAGCCATATCATATTGTGTATCTTGTATCATATTGAATGGTAATGTGATTCCTGGCCCTAAACTGTCTGTGTTTTTCAAAGGGATTGGTAAACTCAGTTATTCCAATGTGTGGACATTTCACTGCAACATCTTATCAGATCAATAATAATAATCTGGTTCTTGTTCTTATATACCCAATAGGAATAGTTTAAGCTAAATAAATGTTAGTTGCAGGGCGGGTCTAAACTGTTATACCATTGTTGTCCTTTTTTCTAAAATAATCAATTATACTTGTAAATTTTTAAACAGTTGTTTTACTAACCCACAGGCCTTTAATGAAGAAAAAGCTGGAGCAGGGCACCACTTTAGTCGTAGATCGTTATGCCTTCTCTGGAGCCGCCTTCACCAGTGCCAAACCTGTAAGTCAGCAGTTATTTAATGTGCATCTTTAATATGATACTACTTTATGTAACACAATTTGCCTGTGTGTCCTCGCTCAGGGCTTCTGTCTGAACTGGTGTAAGAATCCGGACGTGGGTCTGCCCAAACCAGACCTGGTCATGTTCCTGCAGCTGAACCCATCAGAGGCAGCGCAGAGGGGGCAGTTTGGGGAGGAGAGATACGAAAACAGCACTTTCCAGAAAAGGGTCCAGCAAAGGTTTGAAGAACTGATGAAGGATACGACAGTCAACTGGAAGGTAAAAAAAACAAAAAAATGCTCTAAATTCATTACTTTTTGTGCTGAAGGGGCCAGTGCAAAATTATGTAGTTTGAGTAACAACTACATGTTTATAAGGGAACAAACTCAAGCCTTTAGTACATTTACAGAGCAAAAACCAATAACCAAGATAATCCCGCCTTAGCATGAAAATCTTTGCAAGTCATAGTTTGTATTTTTTGACTGCTTATTAGGGGTGTGCAATAATATCAAAATATCATATTGTTTAATATGATGATACAGTATCGATATTGTGGGCTGCTGTATTGATATATCGCCAAGAGTATTTTGGTCTGTTTTACTCAATTATTTTATTACAGCACTACCGTTTTGTTGCTTGCTTAGAGGAAGGAAACTTGTTTATTTGGTAAATTCATTGTTTTGATGATTAAAATGGAAGGAATGGACACACAGGATGCACAGGAGGTGGTGTAACAAAGACTTTTAGTATCACACTCATGATTTAGCCTTTATTTTTTATTGAACCGTATCTAATCGAATTGAAATGTATCATATTGAATTGAAAGTTCAGTGTATCTAGATATGTACTGTATCGTATCTGCAACTTTTTAATGATACCCAGCCCTACTGCTTATTTCTTCATTCATATTCATCCATATAGTAAATGTGTTGTGGTTTGCTATTGCCATCCATTTAAATGCTGTGTATTTGAAAAACCTGTTTGTCTGTTGCTTCAGTATAAATTGTTCTAAACATACTTTTTATTTTTTAGGTAATTGACGCTTCTCAAAGCATTGAGGATGTCCACACGAACATTCAGGACCACAGCTTAAATGCAATCAACAAAGCACAGGACATGCCTCTTGGAGTGCTGTGGCAGTGAGCTCGTCTCAGTTTCAAAACATTGGGACCTTGACAATTCAACTGTTTTGTAACAATATTCAATTTGAAAGATTGTATTTTTTGTAATGTAATAAGTATTAGTAAAAGTTTTACCAGGAATGTGTTTTATAACTCAAAAATATGTTAATAATCTGATTATGAGTGTGCATGAATCTACAGCCAATGTTAAACAAAAGTAATAATCTGATTTAAAAGAGGTAGTAATTCTAGTATCAGTCAAACAAATGGGCATCTGTCTGTCATCACTACAAGTCACCCTGTTTTTTTTTTTTTTTTTTAGAACTTTTATTATCCCCTCAGTCCTTTGTTCTCTGCATTACACCCATCCTTCAGGGCAGTGGGCAGCACATTGGGGCATGTGGCGACCATCACCAAGATGTTTTGCTAGGCTTGGTCAGGACTACCTTAGCTGCAGGATTTTTACCTACCTATAGTGCATGTTTTTGAGTTGTTACATATCACTACACCAGCTTTATAAAACAAAACATGTAAACAAATAATCAGAAGCAAGAGTATAGCAGTCATAAATCCGTTCAAATATTGGGAGTAATTTTATTTCCTTATTTAAACCGTTGATATTACATATACTGTAATCTAAATGGTATGAGTAATAAATAAAAAGTGTATAATTAATGCAACTCTTCTGCACATTGGACTAAATTTGGTTTCATTACAGTCTGTAGTTTGATTAGTGACCACTGTGTTAGCCATGGAGGTGCATCTGCCTACAATATCGTCCATTGTCTTTTACACAACATAAAACTGTTATGGCAATTTATTTAATGGAGTCAGGGAAAGGCACCATATCACTTGAGAAAAAAAAAAAATTTAAGACTTGGATGTAAAACGCGGTGTGGAGATGGGCACACAGATGGATCCTGAGCTCCTGCTACTGCTGCGTCCACAGGGCAGCCATATTGGATAGGTCAGAAGCTTTAGAAGAGATCACCGTTTTGCACTTTTGACTACATCATCGGAGCAGGGCAGGCTCAAGAGGCTCCCGTAATGTTCGGCCCTTTGTTTTCGTGCTTGTTCCCTTCTGGTTCAAGAGCAGAGATGCCACAGTCTTTGCCTACAGTTCAACAGTCAAATGAATGTCAGCTTGCTCATCACAGGGAAAGGATTTCAAATTCCTCATCTTCTGAGTCAAAGAACCGCTCCAGTCTGTCAGAGTCTGAGAAATCTGCAAAGTACAAAAATACAAAAAAGTCATGTGAATGGTGACGATCCATACATAATATACAGTCATACATAACAAAACAAATACGCAAAATAAAACATGAATGATTGGTGGGATTATCTCCAACGCCTTTCTATCATTCAACTTTATTTGACCAATGACCACCAATCTGGTCTTGATACAATACAAAATACATTACATAAGCAAGACTGTACATCTTTTATATGTCTTTTGAATAAAAAAAAAGTTTGTCAGTGAAGTATTGGCTTAAACCAGAAAGTTGTTGTCAAAAGTATCGATACCCAGATACTTATCTATATATTAAAACCAGTATCGAACCCATATGCTACTAAAGTAGAGGTACAAAAACAAAATACATAAATAGGACACATTCTGACCTTTACAGATTTTTAAAAATGATTTTCATCTAGTGTAACAACTACATGTGATGTAAAGAAACAAAATATTTGGATATAACTACCTTGTGGTATAGAAATTGATATTGAGTATCGAGCCTTTTCCTTTTTCTCAAACAACACTGAGTGAAATGTACCGTAGTATTAGTTGCTTACCAGGAGTGAGGTTTAGGGCATCCACACTGACCATATGAGAGGGCTGACTGTCCACCAGCTCAAACATGGGCAAGCCACCTCTGTTGCAGGAAAGCTACCAAATATACCAAAATATTAATATAATATTCAAAGTGTAAAAAACAAACTGAGAAAAAGAAAAGTATTGAAAGTTTACCCGTCTGATTCGCACACACCAGTCATCAAACTCGTCTTCTGTTCTGAAGAAGAAACCCTGAGAAACAAGAAAATATCTGAGGATCAGTATGAATATTCTGATGTTCAAATATATGATGCGTAATTTAAAAAAACTACTGATTATGAGATGAAATTAATATTTAATTCTTTGCAGACTTGAAAGCTGTCAGTTGTATTATTTTGTGTAAACGTAATGTATATTGTACCGCTGCGATGGAGGGGTCTAGTTCACAGATGTGCATGCGGCAGGGCGGGTGCTGACAGTGGTATGTCTCATCTGGAACATGCCCGTCTTCACTGGGCTCCACTGCGGACTGTGTGGTGTGAGGGTCCAAGTAGATCAACTCCTCTCCTGCACAAAAGCAAAACAATTATAAGAGACGAAATACAGCAAATCACAGAGTTTATTAACACAGGCAAACTACCTACCGACAAAACCGATGAAGTAATGTGCACTGTTGGGTTTGCCCCCGATAACACCCAAGGATTGGGGCAGCATGAAACATTGCTGAGAAGCAAAGAAAGCCAAGCTCAAATTAATTGTCTGTTCCAAATAGAGAAATATTAGTAGTGTTCCTTAGCAATGACCCAGACGAGCTCCTGTTTTCTAAGAAGAGTGAACAAAGGGGGCAGCTCAACCTTTTATTGGACACAGAGTAACACACTAGTATAAATCTGTATTAAAATTGAGAAACAAGGTCATGAACAATGATTTTTTTTGCCACAAAATGAAAAGGTTAATTTTGTTTAGATAAGGTGCAGTTTGCAGGGGAATCAGAATACACACTTTGTTAGTACTTTACGAAGATGTGAGTCTGGTCACTGTGAATCTCCTTGTTTTCAGTTTGACAGGTGGATTTTAGTCAATCGGACTTGCATGATCTGTCTGTATCAACACAAATATGGCTGCTTACAAGAAAAAAAAAGGACAAAAAATGACTTGAAAAACATCACTGCTTTCTGAGGATTTAATGAGCAAAGCACTAAAGTCTGTTGACTCTGAGGTGAGAGACGTTTGATTTTATTTCTAAATCACAGATGACCAAAGAGCTCCTTTGCTTCACGTGCATCACTGAAAAAACAAAAGATTGCACGACTGTGTTTGGTTCTGGCTTGAGATGTGACGGTGGGTGTGGTGGCCAGATTGATGTCAGTCTGTATATAACATAAAGAGAAATCATTCTGAATTTACCAAGCTCACAAGCTGGTAAAGTTCACAGTATGACTTAAGTTCATTAAAGGTTTAGAATAATTTCCAGGTAGGACACATTTGAAGTCTAAATACATTTTGGGCCCACAAATGGATCCATTGTATAACAGGTTTTAACAAAGACAAAAAATCCTTGCACCCATGTCTCCCAGTCCTCCAATTACCTTCCACTGCACCTTTGTTGTTACCAACTGAACCTGATGGTTATTGCCACCATTTGTTTTATGGCGCTCGTCTAGTCTGGTTTGAGTATTTGTGGTTATTTCTGGTAGTAGTTTTATTGTTGTTTACAGGCAAAATGTAACTTTCTTTGCATATAATCAGTCCTTTTTGAACAATACATTTACTACTACTGTTTTTTTGTTTTGTGCACAATATTGTCAGGCTTGTTTTCAGACTTTTGGATCTTGTGAAACCGTCTGCGGTTACATGCATACTCAATATCTGTGTATTATAAGATTTTTGGAGTAAACAAATGGAAAGTCCAGAAATCCAATAATACAGATTTTGGTGTGCAAGCAAACACAACCACAGTTTTACACAGAGTTCCAGCAGGCTCTTGTTAGTACTGTGCTTTAAATGAAGTGAGTGAGAGTTGTTCACCTTGAGGGGTTCGATATACGCATCGTTGATGTCACTCAGTCCCAGCCTGAGTGGTATGAGCAGAACCAGAGGTCTCCACAGAGCCGTCTCCTCCTCGGTCAGAGCACAAGCACCCTCCAGGCAGCCGTTTAACGCCCCTGCCCCCTCTGCTTCTGCGCACGCCCCCTCCAGCCACGGCATGCACAGGCGCTCTGCGGGAAAATCATGGTATTAGCTATTTTTGATGTACATGGATTGTTTGTGTTAGGGACTAGAGACTATTTAAAGGACTAAAAAATGTTTGTAGTCACATAACAGCATTCTAACTTATAAGTACTGCAATTACTGTAGTTTGTCACTTCTGTATTCTGTACAGTATTGTAAGAACAATACTCGTTGAACCCACTTGTTTGTGCTTTTAATGTGAATGTATTGTTTATCTTTTAATCAAGCTCACCAATTCAAATGTAACAGATTTAATACTAATACACTAACCATAAAACAGCTAAGAGCTTGTTATAAAGGTCTAAGCCAGCACATAAGAATAGACCAGGGCTAGTCTGAGCTAAATCATGGATCTATGCTGGACTAAACCCAGTGTAAACAAGAAATACATACCTATAAACAAATATATTATGCAATAACACAATGTATTGTCAATATAAAAATAGCAACGCATCACAAATGGTTTCAAATCGGAACTATATATAGACAAAGAGAAACTGCAGTATTAGATGAGCTAGAGCACATTGAAAAGAAAGGGAATGTGCGGTCGAAGGATATGGCTAAATAAATCATGCGGATGGTTTATGTTTCCCCTTAAGACAGCCAGAAAGACATTGGCAATGCAGTAACCACCATAATGCAAAGCCAAGTACTGACTTGTAAGCACATCTGTGAAGAAGCTGGTGTAATAAATCACTGCAAAACGTGAACTCACTGATCTCCTCTATGACCACTGTGTTGTCCATTGCCACGTGTACGACTAATCGGCTCCACGTATCAAACACCGTCAGCTTCCTGTGAAGAAATCAGAGAACATCAGAACATATTCAAGGACATTTAATTTTAAATGTGGAAATACATATTATACGATAGATAGAACAATAAGAGTTGTTTATTTTTGTCTATTTTGTCTACTACACTTATTGTAGCAGTGTGGTGTTTGCTTAAATGAGAAAAAAAAACAAATGATGCAATCAAATGTAACTAGAAGCAGAGGTGCAGTCATTGACACAGTTGCTGTCGAAAGAGGAGCAAATATCTTTTATCAATAAAGTAACAATAATATCAAAGCAACGAGACTTGTCTTTTTTTATATTATTCTTGTCACATGATAAAAAATGTGTTATAGTCAGTGAACCAATACTAACAAGGCAGTGCCAGTAAAAGATTAACCGCTAAATTACACTGCAAAATGTCAATACAATACAACATACAATTTTATTATATTGTCATTTAGACACAGTTTGGTCAGAGCTATTGTCTTGAGGTTAGGAAAAATATTTTTAAACATATTACTGCATGTATCACTTACCAAATTAGTTTACTGACTTATTACTTGAGGCATAGTATTTCAACAAATTATTTTCTACTTTCTAATAGTTTTTAATCTGCAATACTACATATTGTTCCCTGAATGATATTTGATTATGACAATCGAGTATTATGGGACAAAAATAAATGCAGACAAAAGACACTAAGAAAAGCCTGAAACAACAAAAAAATCCTTACTTTAGGACTTGGGCGACTGTGTTTGGTCCATACCATTGACCAATAGGTTTTCCCTCTCCAACTCCCATTTGAGCTGCAAAAAAAACCAACATGTCCTCCCTGTTTATAGTCTATAGATTATGTTGTTAACATGAAGTATATTTTTACTAGCATATTTTAATAACTACTTTAATCTTTGGAATTTTGACTCTTCGTGCAATAGAGCTACAGTGGCTGACAATTTTTCTCTCTTCAATCTAAGAATCTGATTAACATTTTACATGATTACATATACAATAGAGCAATAGAGCAATAGTTAATATAATACAGTTACCATATGACCCAGAATCAGGACGCTTTTGGTGACATATACTAACCTGTGTGAAACTAAAATTCTTACCAATCTGATGGATGGAATAATAGCTGTCCTTCTTGTCAATGAAGGCATTGAGTATACTGATGTACTCTTCTTTTTGTTTACAGCCTTTGGCCCATCTCCAATCTGGGAACAAAAAGACCCTTATCTCATCTGCCTTGTTCACTGTTGGACACGTCAACACACTGAAAAAGTGCCATGCAGTGATAACAGCTGTTCATAAGACTATTTATAACCATAAAAATTATGATATAACAATAGTGTGAGAATTTCAGCACTGGCCGCAGGTGTTTATTCCGTGTATTGTTTTAATTGGTATAAATCTTTTGAAATACGACAATAATAACTGCACTACCTTGTAGAATAAGTAGCATTTCTACAACACTATGAGCCCTCCTACAATATCACAATGTAAATGAATCTGAGTCTGATTAAATTTATAAGGTCTTCTATATTAGCTGACTATGCCACTGGAATATTACATCCCCACCTATTACGACAGTAGTTGGCTTCCTTTGCTTTCCTTACCTCTGCCAAGATGTCTACACACCAGAGCTTGCCCCAAGATCATCTGGCCGCACCGTAACATACACCCCCATCCCGTGTCTGACGTGGGTCCTGTCCCTCCTGAAACATTACCAATATGCGCCATCAGCAATTTGTCAAAAAAACTGTTTCATAATCTATAGAGTCATTTTGATTAGATTTACCAATTGGGGGGAAGTTCTTTCTGTATGTGAACCACAGCCTTGAAGTGACGTCTGATAAAATATCTTCTTTCTCTACAAACAGAACAGATATTAAAAGATAAACATAACACAAATGTAGACACTGCATTACAATCATTAGCTGATCGCAGTAGTTGATTTATACCTGTGAGGGCATTGTACTCTTTTCCCAAGATCCAAACTGGGTCAGAGGTCTCAGGGAAATCTTCAATCTCTCCAAAACGCAATGTGTCGTATGTCAAAGTTGCTATAAAAAAACAAACAAATAACAGTTCACTTCTACAACAATTACCATAACAATTTACCGAGTAATCCATTTTGGAGATAGTTTGTTAGTATGGATGCACCGATATCTGTTTTGGATATCAGTTTCAAAACATTGGTTCAGTTGATATCCCGGTTGGACATATAAATAGATTATTTACTGGTTGTAGTCAGCCCAGAAAGTCTCATAATGTTTGAATTTTTATTTACACGAAGTTGTTCTGTTGTTAATCAAGGGATAAATAGCAGCTATATAGCACAGTTACATTATTTTATTTTTGTTTAAAGGAATTACTGTTTTCAGTCTCTGCAGTGGTATGCGAAAGTGGTACAGCTGCAGAATCGAAATTGGTATCGGAACTGAAAAATCTGGCTCTTTCATTCCTATTTGTCAGCATTGCGAAATTATATAATTGCCAAATTGGACATTGAAGTATACAGATGGCATACAACAGTATTAGATTTATTATGAAAGATAAGTGACCAATGACCAAACAGCTTCTGATGCAATGCAAACACTGCACTGTGATGACAACAAATCACTGATGAAAACAAAAGTTAAGCTACGTGCCTCACAGCTTTAAGGCGTCATTTTTGGTTACTTTCCAACTAAATAAAACTACACAGCTATATGTTGTTGTGCAGCTACTGGCATTAGTAAGTACAGTGTAATATTGTGTAATTAAATAATAAATAATGCAGTAAATCGTGCATCAGCAGTAATAATTTCCTTTGGGCGTAACGCTAAGTTAGCACAACAGATGAGCCAAAGACGGGAGACGTGTCACGTAAAGTGGGGGCTAGACAGACTAACAACACCGGGGGATAAACAGAAATGGCATCCGAAAAAAGCCCAGGAAGTTACACAATTGTCAAAGAAGCTGTCATGGCGTGTTTCCCTTCAGATTTAGCACAAACAGCGAGCTAAATGTTGGTTAGCACAGTTAGCTTTAGTCATCACTTTAGCCGCTAATGTCTCCGAGGCTACAAAGCATCAACGATGTACAGCCTGGTGATTTTGTCATTTTTAGATGACAGAGAAGGTGCTGTTTAATCGGGTGATCGCACTGCGTTAATATAAGTATTCAGCAGTTGAAATACTTTGAAATATTGGAGAAAAGTAAAGGAGATCGAGGTTACCTGCATCCATCCCGACGGTCTTGAGCCTATCTTGTTTGTTGTTCTCGGCACTGGGTCAGCTGGACCAATCAGAAGCCAGTCCTGCTGCGGAATTCAGAAAGGGGCGGGACTTCTCCAAATCTCAGCCAATCAGAGCACGGGCAAAAGAGGACTCCTGAACGGTGACGTAGCGCTCAAGAAGAAAAGTCACTGAGGTTGTCTGGTCTGCCTCTACAGTATAGAAAACAAATAGCCAAGATACTAGACAGACTTTACTCAAAAAAGGTATGAAATTTGTGATATTACATAACTATTGCCTGATTTCTTATCGCTTGTGAATGTAATCATATCCATCCTATACTTGTATAGATCAGGCCTAGAATCTGTCAAATATGGCTATTGTTTTAACATTTAACCACACATTCAAATTCAAAATATTCACATTTCTCACCTATGATGAGTCTTTTTAATAAACAGAAATTTAGATTTACAAAGACAAAAACAAGATTACTCGTTCATGCAGCTGAATCGATCCACACTTGAGTAAACACAGTAGTAAACATTTATTTAAATCTTACATTATTTGTGTACGAAATGACAGACATTTGCTCATTTTACTAGGACTCCTAGTGCTTTAGGTCATAAAAAGTGAAATTATTCATAGAATAAAGTCTACATATATGAAATGTCATCAAAGTGCTCACAGAGAAGACAACGCCTCCATTTGCATCACAGCTATTACAACAGAGCTTTAAAAGACGCACAAATCATGATGGCGACAGATTAGCAACTGCCAGGGTCTCTGAACCTAATGCAAATTTACACAAAATTTTAAGCCTTATCATTATAACAGAACAATGCATTTTGAGGCTGCGTTTGTAAAATCTAAAAAAAAAATAAAAATAAAATAAAAAAATGCATACAGTCTTCTAATACAGCTCAGTGTATGTGAGTTAAAATCTATCAGGAACTATTCTGTTACATGAATATCATAGTTAACAGAACAACAAATACCTTTTATATATATTGCACTGTGCACTTTTTTGACAGCAGTGAGAAATCTGGACACTTAGTGAGTAAAGTTACCTATAATTAATGTAAAGTTATTGAAGGCCAAAAAGTAAAAGTACTTCATAATCTTGTTTAATACTTTAAGTACTTTTACTTTTACTGGATACTTTTTAACCATTTATTTTATTAAAAAACATTCCTAGTCTCTACCACAAGAGGCAGTACAATCTATTACTACAGGTGTGAAGTTGTGTAGTTTTATCATTCAGTAAAACATATATTAATCAACATATAAAGCATGCACATTATATTTTCACTGTGTGCCACAATCTTTAAGGCCAAACGAAAACAAAAAAGATATAGTTTGTGAAGAAACCGTGGTCCATGGATGAAGGCTCAGTGCAGTGAAGTGTAAACATATCCCAAAGCTGTGAGCATAGTGCACTGATCTGTCCTTCCAGATGACTAAATATAACAATGTTTTTCACTTGTCTCGGAGCAGATACAAAACTATGGCCTTCAGGTAGTGCCCGCACGTACAAGCAGCAGCCACGAGCCAATGAGAGCGGAAACTGGGATCTGTATTCACCACACACTTTGTAACATCCACCTGGAAATACAAAGGCATACAGTTCACACAGACAATATTTACACTAATCAATATTATTTGTTATGCTTATTAATGTCATGTTATGGCTAGATTCAATGGCAGTGCGTTCAAGACACCCATCATGACCATGATTAGTGGATTTTGGAGAGGCCACTAACACCAAATGACTGTTTCAAAACGTTCCCTAAATATGTAATAATAGAGTATTGTCACTTTAAGACCTAGGAGCTTTCAGGGTCCATAAAATAGCACAGAGCACACAGTTTAATGTCATCTTTGACACTAATCACTTCCCTCTCATGGTCCGCAGGCCTACGGTTATAATTTATGTTTCCTCTAGGGCAGAATGACGGAGCAAAATGCTGGTCCAGAATTATGGCTGTGAGACAGCGATAAACAATCCTATTATTTGTGCTTATGAGGTCAATTATACACTGCTGTGGCCCCCTTTTGTCACACTCCAGTTCTCCTCAAACAGACATGACTTATGTGCACAGTCTCTGAATACACCACTACACAATTGTTCACTCAGCACATGTCTGGACTCCTGTTGGTTTTTCACACGTTTGTACAAAATCTGATGTTATGAAGATGTGTATCTGGAAGTCCCTTTGTCTAATAGGCTATTGGTTTATGTCAACCTGTACTGTATATGGCTGTATAACCTCTAACCTACAGGTGACTTTTTTCATGAATTACTTGGGCTGTTTTGTTCTATTATGTCTGTTTATGGCATATTTTGTTTTTGTTAATTTACTTAAGCATACAGCTAAATTGAGAAAAAATTAAAAGCGATTTCCAAGCATAATAGCCATTGTAATAATTTGTAGTGTACCAAAATGTTAGAATACGCTCCGTGTTGATTATGAATACTGTATCTATTTCTGTGTTGTTTATAAGTGGCATATAAAGAAATATACTCTTTAAGCATCAGTTTCTAGATGGTGTATGACCAAATTGTAACAATAGTTAAGTTTCTTACCCAGCCTCCTCTTCTCTTTAACCATGAGGCCAAACTCTTGCGGACAAACTCCCCCATACAGTCCACTATAGTGTGGACCATCGCTGGGTGTCCATGTTTCACACAGTCCACAGCTAATCCTCCGGCCACAGCATACAGAGAAACAACCTTCCCCCAAGTCACTCCTGGAGGGACACATAAACAAACAAGCACAAATAGTAGACATTTTTAGATTAGGATCAACTTGGTGTGTGTTTTTCTCATAACCAAGAGTCCGAGTAAAACTATGCACACACACACACACACACACATTCTACATTTTTGTTTGAGCATCTTAAGTCCATCAGTGACAGAATTATTGATGAGTTTCTATTTTAAACAGTTTGCAGTGTTGCTTGCTTTCTTGCACATTCATTTTTACATTCTTTGCCTGAGGATCTTTCTTCTTCTCTGTTCAGATTCACTTATGATTTGGTGTTTCATCCTTGAGTAATACAGATGTATTTTGCTGTTGTAAACAAACATCTGGTTTTGATATAAAATGTTATTTTTCTTGCGTGACTAGTCTTGCATTATATTTGAATGTAATACTAACAAGCCGGAGAAAGTTTAGAACCTTGCATTACATAACTTTATTTTCTATGCAAAAGAGGACATATGCAATTTCAGTGTTAACTTTTTGCTTTTTGTTTTGTACAAAGCAATTCAAATACTTTGGGGATGTAATCTAATCTCTTTCTGTCCTGGACTTCCTTTTTGCATGAATAGACACTATTACCACAGTGCCCACTCTGACACAGCAATTTAGTAACCACACAGATCTATGTAAATGTAGTTAGCTAAACAACATTAGTAATTATTAAGCAGTGGCAGTGACAGTGACAATCCATTTTTATATGGAAAAGATGAATGAAATGTTGTCCACTTTAATGCTATTACAGTTAGTTGCTTTAACTAATCGACAAAAGTATTTAATTTGCTAATGTTAGACCTCTGCTAGACAAGTCCTATTCTGCAATGGTAAATGTTTTCTTCTATAAACATCTGCTCCAAATATGTCATTGGCCCAGTATTGAACTCTCTTACAATGATATAACTTTGTCGTAGTTATGTGTGGTATGATGATTCTACGTTGCAGGGGACAGCTGAGGTTTACAACTTAAGTTCAGGGTGTAACCGTCCCTGTCTGCTACAGCCAGTGTTCTGGGTATAACTTTAACCAAATATGGCTTTTTCCTGACTGCTCTTTTCCTCAAAGATAAGTGCACTCCTATCTTAGACAAGAAGCGCTGTAAAACGGTTTATAGGAGTTAAACAGTTCTGGTTTAAAACTTCACAAACAATGGGAAAGGGGAACATGTTTCTAGACTAGTGTAGACTAGAGGTTCCTTTTTTAAAGTAAAAGTAAAAGTAATATGCCATGTAAGAAATATTTTCCAAAATCTCTAGTTAGGGCTGGTTCACATTTGGAGCGTCTTGGTTTAGAACACTTCTTTAGTCTTAGTTTTGTCTTGGTTTAGTTCTAGATTTAGATTTAGTTCTAATGCACTCCTTTTGTTCCCTTAATAAATAATGCATTTTATCTCTTGGTATAGCCGCGAGTTGGTGAGATCCGTTTCACCTTTGTTTACACCAGTTTTAGTGCTGCAGTAGATGAAAGCATATCTTTACCTGTAGAGAAAATATCTGCTGCTACAGCCAAGAAGGCATCTGAAACCACGTTCTCTGAGGCCACCGTGATGTTGAGCTGTCGAGCCACATTTCGGTAAACATTTGGACGGAGGTACTCCAGCTCATCACCTGACCATAAAAGGAAAGACAAAAGGTAAAAAGCAAGCTCACATAAGATTGTAGTTGAACGTAGTATCAAAAACTGTCATAAAATTGAATCACTTAAAAAAAAAAGAAAAAGTTGTTAAAGTAGTAGTTATAATATATTAGTTAGGGGATGTTGGTGCTCTCAAATAAATAAATAAAATAACTGAACACAATATGATAAAATCTGTATTACTGTCACTATTGCTACAACTACAACTGTGCTGAACATACACGCACATGTACAACAGGCACTTGACTTGTTGGCTTACCACCAGAACATACCAACAAAACTTCCTTGTAAAACTCCTTGAAATTTCAGTCAGTTCCAGTAAAAAATGTGGTTCCACTTCTATTCTGATTATTACCTTGTATTGGTATGTTTCACTTTCTGTCAATCACTGCAGTGTTTTTTTAGCTGTAGTCTCATAATAAAATATTTCTGAATAATGTCTGAATAACAAACTGATAAATTGGTAGTGGTAGGTATGTCACTGCTACAGCCAATGCATCAAGTCTGGGGGAATCAACATTTTAGCAACAAGAATACAGAGACATTGTTCACACTTGAACAACACTGTTTCACAGTTTTAGATTTGAATTTTATTTATATGAGATCAAACTTACCTGCATCGTTAGTCAAAAGACTACTGCAAATTAAATATTATTTGCCTGGGACATTATTCTCAATAATTATTCTCAATAATTAAGCTTCAATCAGTGGATCCTGACAATTCAAATCAAGAACAAGTTTACTTGTTATAATACTTTCTAACTTGGACACTCCCAGTTTTTGTGCAGTCAGTTCTTTGCCACCTCTGCAGAACTTGTGTGGGAAATACAGCCATTAGGTTATTGCACAATAATATTACTATGCCCCATTAATCTTACCCTTTGCCTTCTCATTATATACAATAGATTATGCTTTTGTCATTACATAAAAGCCACTATATTGGCAATAATGCATTTTATCTTTAATTGTCCTAAATACTTATACCATTGTTTTTATTTTGAATAATAAAATGGCTTGGGTCTGATGTTTATAGCTTGTAGCACCCAAAGACCACCATGTGTTAAAAATAGGTTGGGGGCAGACAGGCTATGAGATCATAGTTACAAAACCTGACCCCAAATCTATGGGAATCCTCCTGTAATCTAAATAATGAGCAAGGAATAAGTGTGATTGTTTGGAGATAATATGTACGTTTTAACTACTATGTATACAATTTTATGGGATAATAAAGTTACATGGGTAGTATTTTTAACAACTTAACCAAATACACTGAATAGTCTTATTATTTTAGCTTCAAGAGTGCACAATAAAGAAGTGTTAACCACAGCAAATAATACATTATAGAAAACAAGGACCATCTTAAAACTGAAGTCTTGAAACTCTATAAAAGTATGTTGACATTTCACAAGTTAATTGTTTGACTTAAGTTGAATATTATCTACTTTTGTAGGGTTTGCCAATACTCAAAAATGGGCCAGTAGTGCTTAGTCTTTCAGATTTTTCTGAAATATTTCCTGCAGAGTGGATAAGTTTTAATTTAGAGTTTTAACACCTGAAAGTTGCAAGTTGGACATAAGTCTACTTTTAACCTTTTTATAAGTAACATAATCAGTTTCCTTCATCATTATGGCCCTAAAGCAATGATACTGTGAGCATGTTCATAATTATGCATTAGACTCACCCAACCATATCAGCACCGAGGAGATCTCCCCAAGTGAACCACCTGACGCCACCAGTCCGTGCTCGGGTTTGGACCAGCCAATCCCGGCCCGGTTCAGTCTGGAGTGGATGTAGTCCCGGCAGAGCGCTTTGGCTTGTGACACGAGCTCTTTATCCGTGGGTGAACGGTCAAACACTTCAGCTGCAAACACGGAGGAGCGGCGCAACATCTCCATAGCGCCGCGTTATCCTTCGTCTCCCGCCCGCCTCCGCTGTCTCGAGCCGCGGACACTTGCGCTTGGCTGTACCCCCTTTCCTGCACTACGCGTTTCAGGGTCTCTTTTGGATCTTTATCATACCACTGTACTAATATTTTGTTAGTACACGTGTAATACTGACTTTAAACTATTTGATTGCGCCTGTTTCAGTTCATTTCTGGGGAAAATCCATGGCTGTTACGTGGTTGTTGTTCCCAAAGCGCAGGCAGATGGCACGCAACGCTCGGCATCAAAACGTAGCCAGATTTGACAAGCTTTCCTTCTAAGGGCACTTATTCTGGACTCCAACTACTGTCTGCAAAAGTCCAAAGGCGGAGATAAGCCTGTGGACCCGCCCCGCCGGTACGCACGGCACACAGCACTACACACAACAATCCAACTCTCGCATTCAATCCAAGCAGGCGATTGCAACACGTTAATAACCAACCACATTCAATAAGGTGTGTCTGCTTGGATGATTTTAGAGAATACGGGGTCTATTTGACGATTTAGAACACGTACACTGGCCTATAGAAAGCCAATTTCCTTTTCAAAACAAGCAAGGAATTAATAGGTCAACAAACACAACTAAATAAATCCTAAAGTGTAATTTAATTTCTGGGAGTGCGCCACAGCTGTTTAATCAAGTTCAGATGTAAAAAACAAAACTTGAATGGAGCAATATTTTGAAAGGAATGACATTTTAATGCTATTAAAACACATATTTCAAGTTGTTATGGCCTGCAACTAGAACACATTGAATTGTATTGTACTGAAGCCTACAGGGAATGAGGAAGGTCAGACAGTGAATGTTCCTCTTATGATAATATTAATCCCACCACAGTTTGTAATCAGGCAAAGATAATCCTTCAGTGACATGTTTTATAAGAAGCAGATCACGTGGAGTGGATAGTGTAACAAGAAGTAAAAAAGCTACAACTTAAAGACCATTACATTAAAAAAACTAAATATAAAATGAAATATATGTTCAAGTTATTATTATTTAAAATTTCTACTCAGAGGAGAATCATAGGTACAGACAAAGTTCAGTAAGTAGCAAAAGGAGAGGTTGTAGGCCATGCATGGGAATCTGTAGAAGTCAAATAGATTCAGCCAAAGATGTTTATTTAATCTTCTTATGTACTTTAACTTCTTATGTTCTTTTTAAAGACAAAGACAAAAGTAAAGTGTATTTATCTTGTCATGTTTTGGTTCAAATAGATTCAGTGCTGCAGTGGACCACAACCTTTTAAAATAAATAAGTACTCATTGAAAGTAATTATTATGCCTAAGTAAACAACAATATACTGTAATAACTGCAACAATTACATAAAAAATGCCTAATCACCTTGAGTTTATAATTAAAACTCTTTCATCACTAGAACTAACTGCTTTTTCTTTAAATAAGTTAAAGATATTAGTTACAATAATACACAGTCACAGTGAGGGCCTGCTTTTTATCACATGCAGTAGTATCTGACCTATAGTAGTAGTAGCAATAATAGTACTAGATACACAATGACCAAACCGATTACTTTGTACACGAGTGGAGCTGTAATTGTAATTCTACTTTTACTTATGTAGAATTTTCACGCTGAATGGGATAAATATCAGTATTATGGAGTTGAATTACTTGAAACCAGATGTCCCACACTGGTTTCTAGGCCACAGAGTTGCACTGTGCGACCCGTCCGTTGCGTAAATGTTGTTGACACAGTTGATATGTGAGTCTGTAACAGCAAAAGTATCACGGCAGCTCCACACCTTCTCCACTCCCTGCTCCAGAAAACACTTTGTCAGAAAAAAAAACAAAAAAAAAAACAGCACTGGCATTTCGGGGGAAGCCACCACGCCCTGTGTTTACTCTGTTTGGGCCTGTCTAAGGAATGCCCTGAGGTGTATGTATGATGAGTTGTCAGATCTGCAGCCATGTTTGCAGACAAGGAACCAAACACTGTGTACTGAAATATTTGGTGAGTGTAATTTGCATACTACAGTAGCAATGCAAACGGTCCTGTCGTGTCCTACAATCACGGCTTTGGAAATGCAAATGGAACAACTTGACCTCAAGTGACATCTGTGTTTGTTGTTTATCTGCAGCTTTAGAAAGTGGTCAACAAACAAAGTTAAAATAAAGTAGATGCAAAGTAAACAAAACTGATTTCAACTTAGAGTACAGTTACTTCAAAATATTACTTAAATAGAGGTACGAGTAGACCACCCCCTTCCCAGTAGCTCGCCAAGAGATTTCTGAATTACATGTTTTGTGCTGAATAAGTAAAACCTGATTAATTTGACCATTGTACATGTATCATTTTGATGCCTAACATTGGAACTAATAAATGGATAAAGGTTTATGTTTTATAGGCATCTAACATAGGATGACCACATTTTCAAAATCAAAAACTGGGACACCCCTGGTTTGAGATGGTTGGTAAAATAATAAAATTCTGAAACAAGTGTGTAATTAATGAAAACTTTTCAGTACTCATCCCATTCATGACTATTCACATTTTCTTTCTGTTTTGGTCATTTTTAAGCAGATTTTCTCTATGTTACCTAAATAAATGACAATTTATGATCCTCTTTACTGTTGACAGGGATCAGATTGGTAAAAAAATAGGGACACCAGGGACATTTCTTGTATAAAACTGGGGAAAAAAAACAAAACAAAACACTGGTTTTGTATAAATCTACTGGGACAGGGGACAGAGGGCTCAAAATTGTGCATGTCCCAGATAAAAATGGACATCTGGTCACACTAACTTAATTGTACTTCATCTATAGCTTGCTGTGGCTCTGTTATATACTAAATTTCTTGTGACCCCTAAAACTAGTAGCTTTCTGGCATTTTTGTTTTGTAAAGGTAGCTCACTGGGGGAAAAAAATTGGAGACCCCTGGAGTAAAGTAATTGTAATAGTAACTGTTTGGACATAAATTTCAAATTCAGAATGTAAGAAACTACATATCTAGTCTGTTAAACAAGAGTGGTATTGAGAAAAAGAATAAAAAAGAAAAATCTTGTTTAAAATTAGAAACTATGTTGCGTTTTACAACGTCCAAATAGAATAATATCGATGTTTTTAAACTACTATAAAATCCCATGAGTGGACTAAATAAATTCAACAATAAACATTCATGATTTTTGCATAATCTGTTGACTTATTTAAGGAGATCTAGATGCTTTTTCAGCAAAATATAAAAGAAAAACATGCGCATAATTGATATTCCAAACAATCTGTTTAATTCGTTAGCCTTCCATTGAAATAACATGGGGACTACACATACTTGATGATATGCCATCCAATAAATACGTAGTGTTAGCCGTGCAGCAGTCTCTAACACAAGAATGCACCCCTATCATCACCTCCTCATTTAGCTCCAGAGGGTTTTAAAGGCATAGTCTAACATTTTGGCTTCTCCACACAAATACATACAATGATTCCAGTTTCAGCTTCATAAAATAAACAAAAGTACCACAGATGGACATACTGTAGCTACGCCACTGATGTTAGCGCAAATCTCAAAACTCTTCTAAAACAGTGGCGGAAAAATCACTTCAAAAATATGTTCTTCATGGAAAAGACATTTAAAGTAACGCTAGCTTGATGTTCTTCTGTTAACCACACAATGCAAAGTAAAAAGGATTACACGGCCTGATATTGAAATGTGTAGCACCAAATAGGTTTTTATAGGAAAACTATAAAGCAAGACAAGCTCCCTTTTCTAATAAGAGGTAAACAGACCCTTTAGATTCCACTGGCTTTGAAATAAATACTGCTAAGATAAATACAAAGTGGGAAAATAGTTGGTACTCTAAGCTTTTAGTAATGCCTGAAACCTGGACGCTTCTGTGACTGTCCTTAAAACATCCAATATATCTGTCAAAATGCAGCAACTTTTATTACACCTTCAGTTAACCCTTTTGTTCCTTTCAGTCAATATTCAATACTGTGCAAAAGTTTTAGTAACCAGTAATAATGTACAAAATCAAAGCAATGTTTTTTATTATAACTGTGAGATTTGTGGCACGGTGTAAACAGATTTCCTTTAGATCTGGGCACTATATGTTTACCTTTGCCGGATATAAACAGTGCCTTGGCAGAGGTTTATGCTCTTTATTACGCAACTACGTCCATTTTCAGATATTCTGTTTTCGTCATTTCCTTTTGTCCGATCCATAGAGTGTTCCTTTATGCTACTATTTTAAACTTTTTCAACACAGTTTTGATACACCATAAAAGGTCAAACTTTTGCACAGTAGCATGTTCCTTGAATTACAATGCAAAGTCTCCTTTCTTTCACTCACCACTAGCACATGCAATAGGTCATCTTTGTTCAGATCATAGCCACACAGTTTCAGTCAAAAAACAAACAAACAAAAAAACAAAACAAGCATGAAGTCCTTTGTGTTCAAATTGGTCCCATAAAATACTAACCTGCTATGTTGATCAGTCTATAATGGCCTGGTTGGGCAACATTTGACAATATAGTATCTCCCTTGTGATCCATCACAACAAGTGTTATACATCAATGAAAAAACAAAAACAATGCACACATAATTAGAAACATTAAGTGTTTAAACTGAAAGTATGAATCAGTCTCCAGTTGAAATGCTTTGATTCTTGTTAAAAGTGAAAAGGTTTCTGCTGAAGGCCCAGCCCTCAGAGTAAAACTGTTTAAATTCCGTTCCCATTAATTTCCATGGGAGTTCCTCCTTTGGGGATGAGTAGAGTCATCCGGCCTGTCGTACTGGCGGCGCTCTTGATCACTTCCATCCATCTGCAACAGGTGACAACATGCTCTGATACACCGCAAGATATAAAACCATTTTCTACTAAAGTACATGACGTACTGTGCTGTGGAATAATAATAGTCTATTACTGTAAATTAGGTAATTGGAGAAGGTTTAGGCAATGTAGCAATGTAATAAACAAATCCTTTATTTTTATTCAGGATGCAGCTCACCGTTTATAATTAGAGATTCTTTGTCATTTTGACAAACAGCCAAGAGAAACTTCTTTTGGTTTTAGTTGATATCATGCTGAAAATAGTTCTGCTGCCAATTAATCATTTCAACATCCAACATTCAGTTCAAGTTCCAGAAGAGGGCAACAAGTTTAAAAAGAGATAAGAGAGATAATAATTTTGTATTTTTATTAACCCTGGAATTATAAGAGGCTTCGAATCGGAATGGCCTATACAGTACATTGTTAATATGACCAAATTAGTCCACTCTTTGCATATACAAGTGCGTCTAGAATTGACATATGTTTGTGTATTTTTGTGCATTTATAACTTTAGTAACATACCGTTCAAAGGTGTACTCGCTCTCGGCTCTGAAGAAGTACACATGGGACTTGAACTGCAGTTTGAAGACGTACTCTTTGTGGATGCTGTCAGTCTCATCAGGGGTGCTCACTGTATATCCCAGCAGAGGGAGACTGGCCAGTGGGAAGTCGTCCTAAAATAGTTTAAAGTGTGTCACTTGCATGCAAACTTTAAATCATAGTCACTGAAAACATCATACAAAATTGACAACAAGCAGATGTTGAGTGCTGCTGTCCTCCACCCTAAGTTATAGATATTTTTGAACTAAAAGTCAAATAATCAGCTTGTATTTAGGGACACACTGATACAATACTGATACTGGATATTGGTGCCGATATTGGATATTTTGATGGATTGGATATTGATTCCAAGATATCGGTTCAGTCAGTATCCAGTTTTGCTCCACACAGATATAAATTTGGAGACAACTGGATTAAAACAAGATCTTGCTACAATAAAAGTGGATAGTAATGACTTGATTTAAATAGTTGCCAAAGGGTAACTTTTTGACATTATAAACTTTTTAAATGTGTGTCCTATAAACCTTTGTATACAGTATGTTTTTTTGCTTCTTAATTGCACGTTCTTGAGAGTAGATTTACATTTTTTTCCATTTTATTTACAAGTCTTGCATTCATTTTTAACAGTTTGAGAAGAGGCCATGATAAATTGTCTTTTGTCTAACCTGGTGTGTCTTGTAGAAGAACAAGCAGAAGTTGGTAAAAACAACCCAGAGTTTCTGCCACCCGTTACTGTTTTTAAACTTTCTGAGCAGGTATCCGGAGAGCTGGTTCTGTGAGAAGTAAAGGAGAAAAAAAACAAAACACATCAGCCACTAAAGACAAGTTAGGGCTGGTGTACATGTGGCCATCTTTGTGATTACTTATGAAATGTGTGGTTACTCTACAGTAGATATGGTTATTGACATGGTGACGAAAAAAAAGACAGTAATATAAAATGCTAAAAAGTAAAAAAAACAAAAAACTATTAGACATAAGTCATTTCATATTTTAGAACATATGTAGCCTATAGAGACAAACAGGGTGATTAAAATGTGTGCAGTGCAGTGGTGAAGTATGGTGAGTTTTATCTCAAGTTGCTCATATGTTACAGAGTAAATTTAATTTGCCCTTCACACAGTGTAAAGAGCAGAGAGAAAATAGTGTCTCTAAAGTGGTTAATCCCGTTTAGTACCTGGTTCATGCGCAGGTAATCAGTGAGAGATAGATTCTGGTTTCGGTACCAGCAAACATGAGTGATGGTGTTTGGTCTTTGGCCCTGACCCAGAAGATACCGAGGGGGCAGTTCGGGAGATGCGGCCGGAGACACGAAAACTGACAGAGCGAAGAATAGAAACAAAGAGAGGAGAGTGGAGTGTTAGTATGTTAGATTACAAGGGTGATAAAGGGTGAAGAGAAAGTCCAGGAAATCCTTCTGTGGAGTAAGATTGTTAGTGAAACAAAGGTCCCCGTGCATGTTACAAATGGCTCTAGAGAAAAAGAAATGTATAAATAATAAAAGGAAGTAACCAATCGTAACCATGAAGGAGGAAGTGGGAAATTGATAGTCCTACATCAGTGAATTAAAATATGGTGGAAAAGTAAATTTTTTTTTAGTTAGTTTGACACAGTCAGATTAAAGCTTTTTTGGGTTGTATTTTAATTTGACATTTTATCTACGTCTTTAAATCAGTTGTAGCTCTATCATGTACTTCCGTAATATTATAATTTGTTGATGTAGGACTTCATATTGTTAGAAAGAAAAGGAGAAACACTAAAGAAAAGATCCACAGTAGTTAGGATGATTGAGTTGTGTAAATGAGGCTGGTGTGCTGCTGTGTGTTGTGCTGTAGTGGGGCAGAGGAGGGGTACCTCCACGGCCTGGCAGTGGTCAGACATAGACACACTGGTGTTGCGGTGCCAGCACACGTGCATGGTGGTGTTGGCGCGGTGGTGTGTCTGCTTGTCTAAAGACGTGCGTGAAGAGTTCATGTCATCCTCCGACTCCTGCTCCAAAGAAACCTCATCTGACGAGCCTGAGAGGGACCAGGGTACAGAAGGGGAGGAGGGGGAGAGGAGGGGGACTTAAAGCATTAGGGGATAATAATGGGATTTACTGTCATTTACTGTAAAGTGTATGAAGTCAGCACATCACTGGGGATCTGTCATTGGTTTTGTTACATGGAAAAAACATGACTACATTTCCTGCAACATATAACATCAGACAAAACAAAATAACACTCCGACTATTATCAGATCCTGATGGGTCACTTCAACATGCATCACCTTCTCCTGGTGCACTGCAGTTTCCTCCTTAGACCACTTTTGATATTGACCAATGTAGACCATGAACACCACACAGGAGGTGACAGTTTTCAAGATGCACTAACCCAATCAATGACCCATTTTTGTCCTTGAGAAGGTCACTCTTACGCTTGCCAGTTTCTCCTGCTTTAACTAAGGAAAAAAAACTAGTGTCCAATACTACAGAAGTCAGGCAAAAATGAATATGAGCTTATTACTTAATATTTGTTGTTGATATCTCTGACCATGTCTGCACTAATGGACTGATTGAGATTAACTTACGGTTGGAGCGATCACATAGTTGAGAGTCAATGAACACACTGGACTTCTCCTGAGATTTCTTGGCCATGTCGATGGCAAAGTTCAAATCCTCAATCCATTTTCCCATTTCCACTTTTGAGCTATAAGCAAACACAAAGTGACAATAAATAATACAATATATAGATCAGTAATGACATTGTCTTATTGAATTATCGTATTAAATTGAATAGTATTTCATAGGGATGTCACAATAACCAAAATATCGTGATAGTGTATCATCAAAAGTCTCAGAATAATATTGTGGGCTCTCACAATTTATCGAATTACAAGTTTCCTTACTTAAAGGCATGGTTTTATAGTACTAACAGCTTATAAACATTGGGAACTACATATCCCATGATTCATTGCAGTGCAGACAACATGAAGAGATATGTTTTTTACTTGAATTCTTGGGATTATGGCAGAAATAATTCACACCAAAACCTTGTTAAGGTATTTTAAAAGCAGAAACGTGTCCCATCTACAATTATATTAGCCTCTCCAAAATATTGCAACTGAGAGATTTGGATATCGTTACATTCCTAGTTTTTCAATAGGTTTAAGACACATTTTCTTCTGATTTACCTGGCGGCCACAACGATGGTCCTCTGAGCAGAGTAGATGGTGAAGCAGTGCGGGACAGACCACTCATTTTCACTTTCTTCAACCTACAAATGAGAGGAACAGAAATGTAAGAATCAAATCTATTTTTATTTATTTTAGTTTTATTTTCTTCATTAAAACTTTAAGGAAACATTAGGGAAAGAAATATCAGTCGCTTTGGTTTGGGCCAGTGGTTTCAATCCATTGGGTGGTGGTTTATAGATTCATAAGAGAAGGTGCCCACTGATCTAGAGTATTCCCTTAGAGAATTCAGTACTTCATTCATGTAGCCACAGTAGCAAATGCTTTTTGTATATTCTAGGTCTGATGGTTTCCTGGTCACTGCTACTGAAGCTCATGAGAAAAGGGTTGGGTTTATCTATTTTGGCTCAAAACTTACCGGACAATCCAAGACTATGAGCTGCAGCAGTTGAAAGTGAAGCAAAGACATGTGACATTAGGAAAGCCCTGTGCCTACTTTTATTTGTATTGCATAACCCCAGTAACATTAACCCCAATTTTGAACCCCTCTTAAAACATAAAATAATTACATTTACACTTTTGGACTTACAATCATGCCATGAAGAGGGAGCTGGCCGTGAACTTTAAACTGGTTGGTTGCTGTAACTCCTTTGCTTGTGTAGAGGAGCATATCTGAGAACTGAAAAATTGGAAAAACGTATGACAATAATCTTTCAGAATTGTAGGAAAACTGAACAGTAAAATTATAACAGTTTGTCTAAAAATAAGCAACCCTAATTTGTAGTGAAATATTAATAATTTTCTATCAAATTTGAGAATAATCACTAACCAGGAAAAACATTCTCTGCTGTAACCCTTTCTTTGTCAGTTTGTATAGACATCCCTCTCTGATGAATTCCTAAAAAAAAAAGAAAAATTGTTATTTAGTTGTAAGGTTGAATTCTTTCATTTCTACAGCGCCCTCTAGCTTCAACCCAGCCCCACTGCACTCACTCGTCCAGGGGCGGTCAGGTTTTCGATCCCGATTAGGTCCCTCTGCAGCTCTGTCAGCTTTTGGAAGTTCTCCAGTCGGATCAAACTGCTCTGGAGCTGAGTCGCAATCTCAGCCACTTCCTTCAAGGCCTCTGTGGAAATTCAAAGGACAAGGGGAGTGGAACCATTATCATTTCCTAGAAGGCTTCTTGTTTTCTGGTTTGTAGTGTTATCAAAGTGTGTTATCAGAGCACTTTATCAGGATATGAAAGTCTCTCTTGGGATCTCAAAATGGCAGCCAATTATTTTATGAGTCAGCAAATTACAACAGGTCATTAATACATAATTAGATATGATGTCAAGGGTTTTATTTGGTTTGTCACAGATACAAAACTGTAAAAGCAGCAGTCCCATTCTACCTGTGAGTCAATTAGCAACTCTTGACCCCAGCTGACTTTTGATGTATTAATAGTTTGTAAGTAATAAGTAGTTTGTTATTTTTTCTATAAAAGTTATTCCCTTTCCAATTTATCAGTTTGATTTGCAGGTTAAGTACCATTAGACACAGAACAAGTGCAAGGATACTAGGCTGTTTTGTCACATAATCTCAATTTACAGTTAAATATCGGGTAATGAAGTTCTAACAACTGTCTATAATAGTATTTTATATAGAAGATACTAGTTTTCCATGCTTGAGTGACAGATTATTGACTGTATTAAGCAATTAAAACTTGCTATGTATAGAATACTGCTAGAAAAAGTAGGAGTAACACTGAAATGCTGAGGACAAATTCATTACAGAGACAATGAAGTTTACCATACCCATCTAGGTCCTAAATTACACAAAACTGACTCTTTTAAGCTTTAAGAATATTAGAATCCTGTCACCTCATTAAAAACATACTTGGAGTTGTGTTTTGTTTCATTCACACATTTGAGAAACCCTTTATTATTAGTCTGTCAACATCTGCAAAGCTCAAAAGGCTCTGTTCCACCTTGTGATTTCATGAAGTGGTAGTTTTCAAGTTAACAGCTACCCTTTACTTTTTGTTCAGTAGAGATTGGCCAAATATTTTACTGACAATGTAAGTTTAAAAACACAGTGGAGCACTTCCTATATTACCACATGGCATCATAAAACAGAACAATGTGATTTCAGAGTGTTTTCTGATTGAGAGAAGAGAGAACGGTTTGTGTGTTAAAGATGAGTGAATGAAACAAAACAACACACAACTCTGGGTATGAGTGAGAAAACAGCATAATAACATATCAGAAAATACTGCAATATGGGCCCTTTAAATTGAAACTGTAATAAAACTTGTTAATTTTCCTATAATTATCTATCTACCCCAGCTGCCCGTTCTCACCCTTGCAGTCGTCGTAGTCCTTGTGTGCTGGGGAGTAGTGCTTGCACAGTCTCTCCAGTATGAGCTTGTAGTGCATGAGGCGCTGGATCGGCTTCAGCAGAAACGTGTTCAGAGGTAAATAACAGACTTTCTGTAGCTCGAACTCTTTATAAACCGTCTCCAGTTTCTTCAGACGCTTCGTGGCCTTCTCCAGCTCCGTCAGCACCTCATCGTGTTTCTGCAGGTAACTGGTGAACTCCTACATAGTAAATTAAAAAAATATACACGTGTCATTGTGGATGAGTTTTGAATATATTAAATGAGATAACCGGTATGTAAATATGAAGAACCCTGCATAATGTCCTCATATAACATGCAAATATAATCATAACAAAAATTGGGAATTATGGATTGCATTTAGCTGGGACCTATTGATATCAGAAGGTATACCCTGTACAGATGATGAGCAGCAAGTAAAATTTTGGGACAAGGGAGCATATATTATAAAGACACAAAATAGCAATTAAGCATGCTTTTCAAAATTATGATTTATGAAGTAAACAGTATGCACATTAGGGCTGAATGTGAACTATTTTGGTGAGATATTACAGCAAAGATGTGTTATACATCTAGGATAAATTACGTGTCCGGGATATATTTCAGAACATGTTAATAGAGGTATGAACTACGGAGTTGGTGGGTTTTAAACATAAGACAGGATATTTTGTTTGAAAGTCTCACGATACAATATTGTCACGGTATGAACCTCATTGTACAATATTTATTACGATATTTTGTGGAGGCTAACAAAACTATCAATATGACTTAATCCAGAGAAGTAAGACTTAAAAGCACTTAGAACTATTATTTCTTCATGTAGTCTGCAATGAAATGGAGCAAAGGATCATGGTCTATGTAGTTCTCTGTCTTTTTTGCTGTACCATAATTCTTAATTTAAGCAAAGAGACTTGTAAGTCAATATGTTGTGATGGTCCACGATATTATTGTGAGAACTTAGACAATACGATACAATATTTTGGCTATTGTTACATCCCTAAAAGTCAAGTTATGTCATGAAAACCATTACAGACTTTGCCATTTGCCGTTTGCTAGGATTCAAATTGTGATTTTAATTTGATTACAATACTCTAACTATTGCAGCCCTATTGCACATATATGTTTTCCATTAAAAAGAATCCAAAAATAATCATGCTTATTTTTGTTTTGTTTACAGTCATCACTAGCGCCATCTAAGCATTATCTAAATGCCCATGTGAATAATGCAGTATTAAAGTAATAAAGATAGATGGCTCTTGTTTGCTCTCTCTATTAAACAGTTGGCATAGACTTATTCATCATCTTGTTTTGCTTGTGACCTTTATTTGCAAGGTCAACAACACAAATTACCTTTAGCGCACACATGTTTCGGAGCATGACGTCACCGATCCTCTGGTAGTCCCCTTTGACGTGAGCGTTTGACCGCCCCTCCCTGGAAACACACATTTTTATCACCTTATTTATAACCTGCTGCATCTTAATTATTATAATCAAAGACATCCCCTCATTTATAATTCATTAAATACACCATCATGGTAACAGTTAATGAGCAAACAACAAGGGCACAGACCACAGGGCCAGCCGCTGGTCCAGCTCTTTGAGGAAACCGCGGTGAAATTCATAGATGGGGTCAATGTTTGAGAAGAGCAGGTTCATGAGGCCCTCGGGCATCGCGTTCTCTTTGATCACTGCGCTGCGAAACCACTGCAGGCAACACAAAACAACACAGGACAATAGACTGTTAATATATTTTCAGCACATCATATTAGACTTATTTGATTTTAAAAAGGGACTGCAGTGTTAAATACAACCCTGATGCATTACTTGGTTTTGAGTATTAACAAAAGCACCACCTGCGGACATTATTTTATCTCATTGCTAAGGTAAATAAATACAGACTCTACGGAAATATAACTATTCTAACTATTCTATTCTTTACCGTGAGCTGTGGGGATTTTAAGCTTTCACTGCCAAGAATGATATCAGTCTATGCCCGTCAGCAAAAACAAGCCTTTCAAAAGATACAATATGACGCCTGCTCCACAATATCTGTCTGTTTTTGGTGGACAGAAAATATAGTAACCACAGTATAGCCCTTGGCTGCATGGTGTTTTCTATGGTTTAATATGCCAAGCTGGATTTCTAGCCAAGTTTACATAGAAAGCCTATAATTACACAGAGAGAGTAGGATTCAAATCCAATTTCAAACAAAGTTTATTCAAGGACAGATTGCTTCACATGACCTATTTTCTCTCTCAGAAGTTTATTATTAAGTCAACACATTACACATTACAAAGTGATGAAAATAGCTCCAGATCTTACCACAGTGATGACCTCAAGATCCTTCAGATATGTTCGCTCCGTGGTCAGAATCTCTTTGGCAATGAAGTAGGCCTTGTCTGTGGGGTAACGCTGCAAGACACAATGAAAATAAGTTGGAAAATGCATTTTTATGTATAAAATGTGTCAGAACAAACCATGACAGCATTATATAAGTTTTTAAGATGAAGTTCTAAAACCTTTGTATCCAAGTGGAGTTGTTTTGCCTAAAATGTTACACAAAATGGCAAACAACTTGGCAATCTCTGCGGAGCCTTAGAGCCGTAGACATGCACATGATACCACCAAAGTATTTTTGGCAATAACAAATGTCTGTAACTGAATACATGAAAAATATAGTTACACTATACTGTGGAACATTCCAGGCAAAGCAATAACATTCACAGGGAGACCAGCAGGAGAAGGATCCTTCACCAGAGAACATCGCCAGACCAAACCACATCTAAACCAGGTCTAAAACTGGACTGGTCTAAACCCAACTAAATAATAAATAAATAAATGAAAATTTAGTCTAAACCAGTTAAACCCCACCTTTTGAACATGACTAGACCTGACTCATTTAAAATGAAAAAATAAAAGATGTGGGTAACTCTAGTAAAAGTCCATTAGTAGCATGCAAACACATGGTATACAAAAAAAGAAAAAAAAAATGTATGTAATACTTGCATTTACCTTCCTCCTGCCCTCCTCTTCTTCCTCCAGTTTGGTGGTGCTGCCCCCTTCAGTCAGGATGGGGCTTTGCAGGGGTGAGGAGTGTCCCGGCAGACTCAGGGTGGACATTTGAAAGGAGGGAGACAGACAGAGAGGACCTTTGGAGATACATGGGGAGAGCTGCGGGCTGTCCACCGAATCTGAGGAAAACAGATAGCAAATAATAAGTAAAACAGTTTTATGCTGACAGCCATAAAATAGTTTTGATATTTGTAAACATACAGTACTGCAAAGAACTAAATATATTTCATCGTTAGTGATTTCAAATTAAGTTTCTCTTCTATTAGACCAAAATTTTAAATAAAAAATCTTGATTCATTCATTTAATAAAACATTAAAACATTACTAGATTGTTTTTTAATAATTCAAAAATACAGTTAGTAGTTCATGGGAGCAATATGAGACAAAACATTTCAAATCAAGAGATAATTCTTCACACAAAAAGTTGAACGGGCAAATAATAAATTGCATGCCAGTAATTATGCTAACAAATACACATGTAAGAGAATAGGGAGCAAAGATTAGTTATGTCAGTTCCTTCAAAGAAAAACAAAGGAGTCCAGTCAAGTCTTTAGAAACAACAAACTGCATGGTTCAACACACAAATAAGTCACCATTGAACAGAGAGATGGCAAAGTGAGAGACAACTCCCATAATTTTTAAAAAGCCACTGGTAACTTATAAAATCTAGTTGCCATTACATAGAACTGGCTTTGCTGCTTTTGTTCAGGCTGCAAAACAAATCAGACCAAACACTAAGCTTTTCAAACTAAGGCATAGGTCACCACAGCTGCTCTTCTACTTGTGCTGAGAGAAAGAGAGAGAGAGAGAACACACAGGAGGAAGGCCAAGGGGAGGGGAGTGCACAAAAAAAAAAAAAAAAAAAGGGCAGAGCTCGACCCGGAAATGATTGTGCAGACTTATCAGGAATGTGGCATGTGTCTGCAGGGCATGGAGTTGTTTATAGTAGATCTGGAGAGCTCCTCTGGGACTAACACGCAAAAAGAGGGAGAGGGGGGTGGAGAGAGAGAGGGAGGGAAAGAGAGAAAGAGAGAGCGACTGAGGCTGGGGGTTTACTAAGGAATGACTTGGCACATAGCCTGACCAAACACAGAGCACACACTGGAAATTAGGTGGAGGAATCTAACACATGAATATGAGCTAGCTGCAGTCTGCTGCTACAAATATAGAGCTATGTGTAGACTTTATTATTGAAATTATATAAAAGGACTGTACAAGATTAGGGAGTACAAAAGCCCAAAAATATCTTCTGTTACTTGAAATAATTTAAACTGGATTAAACTGTGAGCTTTTTGAATGACAAAATCCCGACATAAGGAATCACAAGCTGCTACCAACTTGTTGTGTCAGTTCAGCTCGAGTGATGTCAGGAAGGGCATCTGGTGTAAAAAAAAAAAAGTGCCTTATTAGTTGATATAAAAATCATTACATTCTAAGAGGCAATTCTGGAAAAAACTGATGTGGATATAAACTTCAAAACTAGTACCTGGTTTCTCCCAACTGTCAACTTTACAGCAACAGAAGAAAAATAACTGTCCTGGTCTTTGTCAACCAGCAAGTTGTGAGGGGGCTGGTGTCAAATCTATTTTAAAAAGAAAGTTAAGTCTGACATTTGTGGTACCAAAATTAAGTACTTTATTCTTGAGTCAAAACATACAATCATAAGTACAAGAGCTTTATGATTAGTAATATACAAGTCCAAGATTAATTTGTAATTAATTATTGTTTAAGTGCATTTAACTGTAGCTGGTCAAGAGGATCTTTATGTCAGTATTGTTGCACGGGCTAAAGGAATGGTTCAGTATGTTGTTATTGAAAGTCAAAGTCATTATTCATCGGTAAAAGTTGGAAATGGGTATTTTTCCTGTCAGAGGAAATATAAAAATGTGCACTGTGAGTGTGGTCCACAGAGGATTTTACATTATTAACAATGAATTGCTTCAAACTGTCCTAATTAAGTGCATTTCCAAATAGTATGAACAATGTAAACACATACATTTGTCACAAAATCTATTTGATGTGCCTGTTTCCCCAAACTGAAGAAGTGCTGACAGCTATTAAAAGTTACCCATTATTGTGTTTTATTTTCTTTAAAACAAAAATACTGGACTATCCCTTTAAAATTATGTTTAAATCTAAATGATTTCAACAAGCCTTCATATTTACTGAAAACAGTACTTCACTCTGAAAGGTGACACAGAAATGGTTGTGGCTGTAGAGAGATTAAAATGCCTGAATTTGTGTTGCTTTGCCAGCTTTCAAAATGACAATGAGAATAAATTGAGAGGTTCATTAAAAATAGCATAAAATGCTTAAACAGTACATAAACAGTAACCAGCAAAGGTACCAGAAGCCAATTAAAATATCAAACACCTGAGATTAGGCACAAAAATGGTGCACAAATGCACAGTTGTACAAGCACAGACACAAAAAGCTACATAAAAAGCAAATTAAGCAAAAATAAAGAATTAGCACCAATGACGATTAGCAACGATAGGACCTTCTCTTAAAATAAATTCAAGAAACATAAAAAAAAAAAAAAAAGCTTGTACAGAAGTTAGTGTGCAAAAAGTCTGCAAACCCCAAAACATACTGAGGGTCAGACAGTAATAGGGTTGTATTTTGTGGTATAGTAATATAGAGGCCTATGCCACTAGGCAGAACTTTCCTGGACGTAGCGTACATTCATGGTAATATAACTTCGGTATAAAGACTACTATACATGCTCTAGTAAATATAACTTGCATTTATACAAGTTTAAGTTTATACATTCATTTCTTTCTACATGTTGGTTTTATACTCCTTGGCTCATCTATATGCGTCTTATATTCTGTCTGAAACTACCTTGATAGTGGGCTGGTGGACCATTTCTGATATCCAATGCTCTTAAATAAAAAAAAATATACTGCATCATGTTTCACTGTTGCACTATTTGACTGCAACCTGATGGTACCCACTATGGCCACCAGAGGGCAGTATGGCACACAAAAGTACTGTCTGTAATGTCTCCATATATAATAACAGAAAGAACCTATGTTAGATTTACCCAGCTAGTGCATAACTAGTGCATCGCTGTGGTGATGATCAATAGTTGATAAAATGCTTTTGTTAAGTACTTGTAAAATACATTTTAATCACAGCTACACCAATTCCACCTTAAAGTAATCTTAAAGTGAAAATAATACATTCTATGAAAATGTAATAAGTTTTGTGTTTGTACATTTAAAATTTTCAAGTGGATTTTTTTCCACTTTGTACCTTCACATTCCTATGACAACATGCATGCTGTGTTACACTTGCGCTGCATTGCTTCTTTGAAATTATTATCTGTTGGTTACTCCTGTTAAAAGGTGCAGTTTCTCTCCTGCATTGATATAATGTGCTTGTGTTCGGGCCTGAAGTGCGTTTATGTTTGTGCTCTACATGTTAATGTGGGGCGACGTGGAGGGCTCGGACAGGGCCAGGGCCTGCAGGTTGTGACACTGCAGCAGGAAGCCCTCGATGCCGCTGGTCCCGCTCAGAGCGTTAGTGTAGAACAGGTTCTGTTCTGGAGGCAAGACACTGTCTAAGCCCCAGTCCGAGTCTGAGTCAGACCCGTTGCCTGAGCCCTCGGTGGCAGTGGGCGGGTAGCTCAGCTGCTCCAGCTGCTCCACCAGCTCACTGAACTGCACCGCGCTGCTGCTCTCGGAGCGCACAGAGCAGGCTGGGAAGTTCACCATGGAGCTGGCCTCTGATTGGATGTCAGAGCCGGGCAGGCGCAGGGAGGTGGAGTCAGGGCCCCCATAGCCCACAGACATGGACTCTCCCGCAGAGCTGAGCCCCAGGTTGTCCAGGGAACTGCACTCGGAGCGGTTATTAATCAGCGAGCTTGTCTCAGAGTGACCCACAATACTGTCAGGGAACGAGTGGGCATTCCCATTCAGGTCCTCCAGGCCCACACTGAACAGCCTGTTCTTACTGAGCTCCGATCCCTCACTGAAGTCAAACTGATCCACTTTCTCATCATGGCCGTAGGAGTAGGCCTCAGCCCCGCCTCCATAGAACGAGATCTCTGTGGGATCATCATCAATGAACTCCTCTGACACCTGCAGAGGGGAGTGTGCCAGCGAAAACATGGGGCTCTGTTTGGTTCTCAGCAGTTCGGCCTCAAAGGCCTCTGGAGACAGGACCCCTGTCCTCTTCCCCCGCCCCCCTCCCATAGAGTGCCCTGTACCCCTTCTGCCCCCCTGATCTGCATCCTCATTGGCATTTCGGGAGGGCAGCGTCAGGCTTTTGCCACTCTCTACACACACAAACACATTACTAGGTGCACCTTGAAAAGCCAATTGAGACGGGGCAGCGGCCTTGACAGAGTCTTCCTTCGGCGGACTCGGGGGTCTGGTGGTCTGAGGAGGGGACAGCGGCTGGACCTGCTGCAGAGGAGGCGCCACACTGTGGATGAGGCCGTAGGGGGGCGGGACATCCTGTCTCGAGTGGAGACTGGAGATGTTGGACATGTGTGCTGGGTGGAAAGACATAGAGGAGGGAGAGCCTTGGGCCCTGAGGCTGTCATTGAAAGATAAACTCTGAAAAGCAACAAAATACAGAAAATTTACTATTTATTTTTATGATTTGATTTTAAAAATCATGTGTTCAGCCTAACCTGTTTTGGCACATCGGTGGTGATGGAGCGAGCAGACATTCGTATTTTACTGTTCCTCCTGGAGAAGACACTGACATTATATTTCATGGGAATTAAAAAATATACAAAATAATAGGTATAAATATAAGTCAACAGTCACAAACCTCTGATAGGGTGTCCGCTTTGCTCCATTTTCTTTAACAAACTCCACAAGTTGTTTCTGAGTTCTTCCACTGAAATTACATACAAGTGTTACATAAAAATGCATGACATTTACATGTTGTATACTATGTAAGACCAGACCGTAGTGCACACCTGTATCTGAAAGAGGAGCCTCTGGTGAACAGTTTAGCTTTGTTTTTGGGCTGGGGCTGATCAAACAAGCGGAAAAATGAATGGTACTCTACACAGATCTTCCAGAAGATCTTACACTGGTCTCGACTGCCCATCATAAACTCCAGAGTGTCCTGGTGAGGACCCTGAAACAGAGATTACTAAATGTAATATCCTGAAATGTCACAATTTTATCAATGTATTACAAAAACACCTACATGGACTTCAGGGTGGAGCTTGATTAAGAAGCGTTTCCTTTTGAAGCTCAGTTTGCGAATCTTAGACCAGTTAAAAGTGTTGATTTTTGTATTACCCTGAAAAAAGCAAATAAAAACATTTTGTGTGCTTCCCCAAGATTAAAGGCAGTAAAAATACCATAAACTTAAATGTTATCCCAATTACACGTGTATTAGTGACAAGTTCATTCTCCTGCTTTACGTTTCCAAAAACAAAAATCAGCTTACTGGCAATAGTTAGTTGCCGGCAACAGTCTGTATCACAAACCAAACCATCAATTAAAACAGTTCTTACCTGAAAAACTTGCAGGCCCATGTGCGCCACAGAGAGGTTGATCTTGGTGCCTTCACGATCGGCTGCGGGGTGGAAGCGCACGCCATACATTTCCAGTTTTCGGGCAATTTCTAGGATTTGAAAGTCTGATTCAGCTGGAGTCTGGCCCCTAGAACAAATGGTTGGCTATATGAGAAAAAACTAAAGTATAAATAAAAAGTGCAAACAAGACAAAAAAAACTTGAAAAAAAGAGAAAAAAGTTCAAATTAACGTAACAGTACATTTTTAGAAACATGCAGCTCATTTCAATGTTTTGGCTGAAACTTTACGATATTTGTTGCAATAGTAGAATAGTGTGATAAAAAAGGGAATAATTTCAGTTTTTTAACTCTCAAATGTTAAAAAAATGACTGTGCATTACACACGAACTGCTTCATAAGCCTCTACTGACACCATTTAATTGCGCCATATTTTTAGTGCTGTCCAGTGTGTCTGTAAATCCTTTATAACTTCCAGGGATTTCTTGGGGCATTATCTCAAACTGGGAGATTACAACCAAACGGCATGTTAGACAGACATATCCATCCAATCAACACCACTGTCTAATTTTGTTCATCTGCTAAGCACTGAAATCTGCTTAGGCCCTGCCCCACTGGCCTTAAGGCTAATGGAGCAGCCAGTGCTGAGGATTAGAGCAGGGGGAACTAGCGGCTGGTGCTCCCACAACGGACAACCAAGGAAGGAGATTAACAGGTCTTTAGAGCTACCTAATATACTGAAAAAGAGCTCACACTGGCTATAGTTTCACATAATTTGGAGCATTTTAATTTTTAAATTAATCAAACAATAGCTAAATTACTGGGGTATATCATGAAAAACATTTTAACCATTAATTGGCTACTGGTATATTCTTCCCCATAGAAAATGCACTGTATGTTAGTATTGTTTGAACTTTATTTCCGAAAGTGGTACCTTCAGAAAGTTACACAGTGTTGCTTTAACTTAAGAGATTATTAATTAACATGTTTACAGGGCTCACATGATGCAAAAAAATGTAGAACATCATTCATAAATGTAAACAGCAAGTCTTACACGTGTCTCCGATGCAGCTCCATGATCCTGTCCTCTACTTTGTCTTGATAAGGCAACACCTGGTTTGTCTTCAGAAAGTCCCTGTCGGCAGCGTCGTCATAATCTCCAATCTCAGCTGAGAGAGGAAAACAACAACTATTTATGGCACAGTCTCAGTGTTTTAATAATGAATAATAATCCGATTGTATAAAATATATAAAATAAAGATAAATTTAACATACACTGGACAAGGTGAGATGCCAACAAGGCTCCTGTATTTTCGCTGCAGATCAACTTTCCCTCGATTAAATCTCTCTTCATCTGTAATGAGAATAAGTACCTATGGAGAAAAAAATGCATTTATGTTAAGTACAGTATGTACAGTACCACTATCACAATTACATCATCTTTAATTTTGTAACACAACTGTCAGTAAGCATGATGTTTTTTTTTTTTTTTTTTTGGTTAGACGACTGAATAAAATGTATTGATTGATATTTATGTTTGCTGCCATTAAAGTCATTGCACTGTACTGTAGTAAGTGGCACATGGACATTCTCACACTGCTTCTCACAATTTTTTATTCATACATCTCCCTTGTGTAAATATTGTAGCTAGACAATGTAAATATGTGTCATTCTTTTATACTGTTAAGTTGCTTCAGCATACTTAAATAAATATAATGAAGCAATAGGTGAGCAGGCACAATTTTGCATTTACTAACCGTGTATATTCTTCCTGAAGCTGACCAGGGTCCGGTGGGAAGAATTTTACAGAGAGTCTAAATAGTGTATTTGCAGGCCCTAGGATTAACAAATAAAACATCAGTTTATGCCCATGATTTACAATACAATTCCAATTACATTTTTTCGTACTTACTTCTAACTTGTCTCACAATGAGCTTAGTTGGTTCAAGCCAAACCTAAAACAGAAATTAAAAAGAAATAAGAGTTACATGATGAGAATAAACCGTGAAGTCGTATGGTGGCACATGTCGTGGTGGTGTTTGGGTGTAAAAGCCTCAGTTGTTTCCATCTGGGCTTGATTTAAAGAGGAATGTGCAAGATCCACATCACAGCTCTGATAAACACGGATCATCTGACTCCATCATCAATGTTCACAGATTTACAAAAGAAAACAGGAGGAATGTAAAGAGACAGGAAATAAACTTGTCACTAAATGTAGGAGTTTTATTTATTTAAATCCTTTTATTGACCCCTTTTCAATACACATATCCATCAACTTTAAAATTTCAGTCAATTCATCTAGGGCAGTGGCTCTCAAACTTTTCACTCGAAGTACCACATACGCAAAGATTGGCTTTCTGAGTACCACCAGATCTAAACCAGGTCTATAATAGTACTATTCTTGGGCTAAACTAGAGCTAAACAAGATCTAAAATGGGAATACATTATTACTACTCTAGTTTCCACCAACAAATCACCAAAGAGCTGACCAAACACGTACCACAGTTTGAGAAACATTGAACTAGGGAATAGCTATTGTATTTGCCCTTTTCCCCTTATCTGATCACTGTGGACTAAATGAGAAAAGCACGAAAATAGGTCTGAAGGCCTTTCTGAGAAGAATATCTGATCACCAAATATAAACTTCAATCTTAATAAACCAGAAAGTTGCCTGATATTTGTAGTATTTAGTTGTCGACAATTATTGACTATAAACATTTCTACTGTAATCTACTATGAGATAATGGTGATAGCCTGGCACAATACTAACTTTTCTTTACTTCATCTTAACTATAGTCAGAAGCATTTTGTTATTTCTCTCAACTATGCGAAGATTTGAGCTGTAAAGGGTTGAATAAGTTGGATCTATGTTAAGTCATAGTTTCATTTAGCTATTTCTTTATAACAGCTGATGCTTTTTGAACAATATTGTACATTGCTTATCAAAAAGAAAATCAGAGTAAACATTATGAAATTTTGTATATCTGTTAAAGGGGTGGAGATCTGGAACAACTGTACAAAAAACCTAAACTTGTGCTAGCCAGGCCGGCGCCGTCTAGTGCCTCCGCTCACTTTCTTTTCTCTCCAGCAACTAGGTCAGAAATCGGAATACACTAGACGGTTTGCTAAAACCCCAAAAGTGCAAGTTTGGGTACCGGCCAATCAGAGAAGAGTCATACATTCTGTGTTGGTAACGATTCTCGAGATCAAGGATTTAAAGCCGGAATAAAGAGAATGTTTGGTGAATTTTATCAAGGGGAAACACGTTATTGCCCTTCTTCCTACGGGATTTGGGAAAAGCTTAATATAACAGTTAGTCCCGTTAACGGCACAGTACATACATCACGACCAAATAGCAGTGACTGGTTAAATGAAAAAAAGTACCTGCCTACCATCGAGCAAACGATTTCTAACGCTGCGAGGTCAGACGGTTTCTACAAAGTGAAACTGGTTGATGAATCAGTCTAAAATTGTGCACCACTCTTTTCCATTTTATAAAGAAGTTTAAATATTTAACTCTGGGCAAATACATGAATTGTGAGGCTTAATTTGTGCTATAGTACTTTGTTGTACTGTTACTGATTTGTTTGTTTCCTCTTGCTGTATTTATGAAGATGATTTGGTGTCAAGATGACGCTCTGATAGAGGAATAAAGGCTAAAGGCAGAATAAGCTCAAGCTTCAGCCTACACCTTTTCGGTCTGTGTATATTAAATATGACTGTCTGTGAAATAATGTCAGAATATTCCTGTGACCGAAATAAATTCATCAATCAATCATTAGCTGTTTAGAAATATTATTGAGTCAGCAATATATTGTTCTTCAAAATGTGTAACCATGACAGGCCTAATGATACTGTCCATTAGTTCATCATTAACTAAGCATTTCAACAACTAACTAGGAGTAACTAGGCCCCTACAAATAAAAATCCACAACACACAGTTCAGTTCAACATTAGTGGCTTAAATCTTGCCTCCCTTGAGCTGTGATCTGTGACCTTTCATCTCTTATTACCCCGTCTGCCCTTAGTGTAGACCCAGGACCAAACAGGAAGCACATACCCAGTTCATCTGCGTGTTTTGAAACTCCAGGCCAAAGTAATCACTTTCCATAATGTTTCCTCTTTGGAAAACCTCCATCAGCAGCGTCTGTCCCAGAGACTTGGGCTGAAAGGAAAAAGGAACAATATTAATGGTTGCATTTAAATACTTGTAGCTTTTACAGGAACATTTGTCTGAGAAAAAAGGTTATTGTGACCCAGAGAGATGAAGATGAAAAATGTAAAATCCAATTATTAGTACCTTGATCTGACTATTACTACTTATGTATAGTAAGAAAATAGTTTAAGTGTAAGTTACATTGGGTTTTAGATCTTACTAATGCTGCCACATCCCCTGTTACTAATAATAACGTCTAGACTAGTAAGGAGTCCTACTAATTATTTATAAATTTCCTAAAAAGCAATTACTGATTTTCAATTGACGTTAAAAATATAGCCTTTTAAAGTCAATATAGCTTAAGTATCTAAATGAATCACTCTAATCATTCACCCGTGATTTCACACCTCTAAACAGGATGTACAAATCTATTAAGACAAGGTGCTTGCTGCATGTTTTAGCTCTTGCATGTTGGGAACAACTTTTCACCACTCCATCTGTGAACAATCCCACTGCATTGTGCATTTTACAGCCACACATGTTCCTTCTGTCAATCCAAATAGTTTCCACGTACGGGTCCGTCCTGTGCTGTCCGAAGTACAAAAAAAACATCACAAGGAAAGGTCTGCTGCTCCTGACTGCCCCATACATAGGTCTACGGAGTTTGTTTCAGTAAATGGACAGCTAATTACAATGTACCAAGAACTGACTGCAATTGAGGTTTGGAGTCCAGGCCTGCGACTCTGGGAGAAAATTACAGCCCGAGACATCTGGTTGTAATGTGCAATAGTATTTTTAAAAGGCCTATGAAAAGAACTGCTTTGAGTCGGTGAAGGAATTCAAAAGGTAACAGCAAATACTAAAATAGACTAAGACATAATGTGTCAACTTTTACTGATGTTTATTGCAACAGCCCATTTGTTTACATGCCCTATTACAGCAAATACTACTACTATTATTGCCACTACTACTAGCACAATTAAATTTGACAAATTCCACAAATATGCAGTAGTATGTTTTCTGTTTCAAAAAAATGTAACCTATTTAGAAGCTACGTATTCTTCAAAAAAAATGTATGTCATGTAAAGATTTATTTACGTAAAGAATTTAAGTAAATGTATGCAGCTACTTTTCCACTTCTTACACAACCATAAGTGTGAGAATGTGTTTAAAGACCTCATTTTCCATACTGTTACAGAATCCAGTTGCCAACGTATGAAAATGTGTGTTAAAATACTTATCGTCTTTGAGCAGAAGCCAAACATACTATTAAAACAGCCACGGCCCAATTTTATTTTTTCCGTCTCATTCCAAACTCCAACCATCAGACCATAACATCAACATATAAGACTTTACTCTGCATATTTTTCCTGCTTTATCCCAATTAATTTTCAGGTCACGACCGCACTCAACCGCAATATTTCATCAAAACAAAACTGCAATTAGCCCTAAACATCAATAAAGATAAAATTTTATAGTTCACACTAAAACTTCAAATACAGCCATTGTGGTAATGGAGTAGTAGTGGTGATTCAACCTCAGTTTTGTAGTGTCCTTGGGCAAGACACTTCACCTTTCTTTCGTGTAAGAATACACTGTAAGGTGGTCCATAAACAGCTTGTGGACCAAGTGAGAGGAGTAAATAAAAAACACATTAATTAATATGACTGTGATGTGCCTCCAAAGGTGTAAAGGTTGCTTTTATGGCACGTTGGGGTATGAGATGTACATTATTTTCAAAACGCAAATAGATGATTCAATTCAACTCTATATGGTCAGCAATAAACTCATTAGCACTTCTTTGAGGAATTGGAAGAAAGTCTGCAAAGTTGACAGAGAAATCCAGCAGTCAAGTGTGGATTACAGCGGAGTGTTTACTTTTATCTCGCTTGTTCTAGCGCTAGCAAACACTGAGCGTTAACTGTGTCTAAGAGGCTCCTCCCTTTAGTTACTCATTATCCCACTTGAGGAATGTAAAAGTCCATTCACTCCAGTCTCAAGTATCCTGCAGCTCGCCGCTTTGTGTCATTGGACTTTATCTCCAAAGACCTGACGACATTAAACGGCCACAGTCACAGAGAGAGGCGTGTGGAAATCACCCACGCTTTTGTCCAACCCACAATGAAACTACTGTTAAGAGCAGCTCATCATTCAGCACAATCAGGCAAAGAAATGTGTTGTGAACAAGTTCAACTGCAATGCCAGCCCAAAAAGCATCAGCACTTCTATGACAAGCACATTACAACTGTTGTATCTTACTGTTGTATCAGTCAAAAATACTTCAAATAGTACAAATTTGTATTTTAACGGAACAATTACATCATATTTATGACAGCGAAAATATTTACGGCATCTTTCTTTCTGAAGTTTCGTGACTCAGAATTGTCTCTAAGCAACACAACAAAACAGTGGCCATTAACGGCTATTTCCCTTTCTAGGAGTGCTACAATGTTAAATCTCAGTATTATGAAGATCAAAACTGTCTGAGCTTATTGTCATACCATGGGACAAATAAGTGAAGTACTTACGTTCACTAACATTAATAATAATCATGTACACTTACATTGTCCATCCCATATTTTAAATCAACTAATTGTTGTAAAACTCTAATATGGTATCATCTGTTATAATTAATTATCAAATATATTGTTATGAAATGCATTTCCTGTTCACAGCCTCTGTCACTAAAAGCATTTGGTTTAGAAGAGTTTAGACTTTGGAGGAACAAATCTGACTATTTTTTGTGTTAAATGAAACTGATAAAAAGTCAGTATTGTCTATATTACATGACGTCAATACTGACAGCCATTTGCGTTTTGCTTTAGAAAAGAAAAAACAAACATGAAATAAAAAATGTAGTTTGATCAATGAGGAAAAACATTTGATAAATGTTTTGCCATATTGCCTAGCTCTATCTAGTATTATCACCAGTTGTATTTCACATTGGATTTGACAGCGAGACCTAGTTCACAGTCCCTCCAGAGTCGACTGGTGGTTCAGTCATCAGTGGCAGTCGTCCTGAGGCGGGTCAATGGGTCAGCCAATCAGGCCCAGAGACAGCAGGGATTATGGCCCAAACAGATGTTTCTCTGCCACAAAGGGCTTTTCTGTGGAGAGATGGGTGTGACCATGGCTTTTGTACACAAGACAAACTACTAAAAATACTGCTATTATACACAATTATATTTTGGAAGTCTTTCTGCATCTGGCGTATCACTCAGTGCCGTGAGAGTCATGAGCAACTTGGGCAGCAACTAATGATTATTTGTAGGTGACTTGTCAGCGATATTTTGATTATGTTGATTATCAAAATAAATGTTTAACCTGATGTAAGTAAAATACGCTGACTGAAGCCTGATTGTTTGTACAAATAACTGAATGTGTATTAAAAGGATTTATTTTTTATTGGCATATGTTTTTGAGTCCATTTTGTCCAGATAATGATTATTTTAATAGTTCACTATTCAAAATGAACCATTGCAGCTCCATAAGCAACAAAAATCAGATTTTTGAAGAAATCAAAGCACTTGATCTGGCTAACCACCACTATGCCACAGCAATGCACCAGTCTCCAGCGTCAATAAATGAAGAACACCACATCAGGAATGGCACCACACATAAAACCAATTCCACGCAGATAATTTGTTTTTTTGAATGCCGTAGGTTGTTAAATAACATACAATTTGAAGCAGAATTTGCAAAAAAAGATAAACTAGACAGACTAAACTTCACACCATTCAGACAGTATTGACTCACAGGAGGAAGCAGGGCAGACTGAGGCAAATGTATCCAGATCTTTGGGAGGCTGACAAAAACTCTGTGTACAAAGGCAGTTATGTGAAAGCCGCAACAATTTCAACCATTCAACATAGTTCTTTTAAATCTATTTTCGTATTCACTATTAGGGGAAAAACTATCAAATGGTATGACTCAAAACAACAAAATGGTATGAGCTGCATATTGAAACCATTTTGTGAATTTCTATAGTCATAAAATTTTACAAATCAAAATAAACACATTTCATTTTAGATGAGAATGCTTAAACCAGATTCCCCTTTCAATTTCAAAGACCTTGTTGTCTTTATTGTTGCCTATAGCATCGCCCAGTCAGTGCGTCATTTTGGTAATATTGTATAGCTTGATCACAAAAAGTAATTTGTTGGACTTTATTCCCGCAATATGATTTCTAGGCCTGTTGTCGACTAAAACAGGGGAGTGGCATCTCTATATACCTGACACAAACTGCACTACAAGACAACGACATGGGAGTTTTTTTTTAAACATATAAATGCTAAAAGATTCACTCATTTCTCCTTTTATTCTGTTGTCCCATATAAATTAATTATAATCACAATAAAATGATTTGTTGATCACTACAAATTTGGGGTGACTGAGACATAATCAGTGGATTAATCAACTAAATGACTACACCCCTAATGATTTTCACTCAGCAGTACAGTTTAATCAAAGTGAGAACAGAATATCATGAAAGCCAGTTAGAGCCAGGGTTTATCTTGCCTGACAGGTTAGGCCCCAGATTACCAAACAGTAGACTTCAGAGACAGGCGGGCAGGACTGACTGGCTGCAGGGGTGTGTTGGGGCTTGTATGTGGCCCATTGGGGAGCTTATTGTTTAACTTTTGCCACTGGGAGATTTCCTGCTCAAATGCATATTAAAACCACATTCACAAGATGGTGAGAGGGGCTGTGAATGTAGCGGTTTCTTTTATGGCTACCTAACGGCAACACCTCTTTTCTGTCCTGGTTTAAAGGGAACACTTGAGGTCACTTAGAGAGGGCTTGTTGGCAGAAACACAAAAAGAGGTAATCGGGATCAGATGAGGCACTACACCTTCTGTTCAGCTCACCTGTGCAACTCACATAAAATCTACATTTTCAGCGTCAGCCAAACAAAGCGAGTTCGAATACAAAAGCAAAGGTGGATTGAATTGCATGTATCAGAGAACTTCAATTACAAAAAAAACGCATGCACAATGGCATCTTGCAGGACTGAAATATTTGGGGGAAATATCCAATTGCAAGTTTTCTGACAATCGATTGTGATTAGATTTGTGATTTTTGTTTTAATAACAGAGTTTTACATTTCACATTTTAAAAACATCTAGAAGGAATAACAAAAAGACTAAATGAAATATGAAATGACAAACTAATACTAGTACAAGAATCACATTTCAGAACATGTTTAGTAGTTAGCAGATGTGGGACCAAGTTGTTTGAAAGTCTCAAGTAAGTCTCAAGTCTTTGACCTAAAGTCCGAATCAAGTCCCAAGTCAAATACAGGCAAGTCCAAGTCAAGTCTCGAGTCACTGGCACATAAGTCCAAGTCAAGTCCAAATCATCTGCTTTCAGCTTCAAGTC